GTGCACATTCTTTGTATTCCTACTCGTGTTTATCAAAACTTTCACGCGCGTCTGCCCATCATAAACAATGGTATGGGGGTGGGGGGGGGGTGAACTCCCCCACACAATGGCCGTTATCTCATTGATCACAACAGCGCCATCGATCTGACTAAAGCAATCGACAAGATTTTCTAGGCAGGTAACTGCCAGGTTTTCTTTCATACACATTTTCAAAGGGGGGGGGGGGGGATGGAGGGGGGAGATGGATGGGGGGGGGGGGGGCTTGAAACTCACAGGGGTAGGGGGCGCACTTAAAATTTCCGGTTGGGTTAGTGAACAGTGATTAAAGTATTACTATCTTTTTGTTATAAATTATGCTTTTTCTATTACGTCCTAAGGGGGGGGGGGGGTAACATGAAACGTACACGGGGGTGAATGCACTAAAAATATTGGGTGGTGGGGGAAAGGGGGGAGACGGTGCGGGCACTGGTTAAACTTTATAATTTAAAAAAAAAATTAGATATTTTCTATTTCGTAGGGGGGGGGGGCGCTTAAAATTAGTGGGGGGGGGGGTGAAGCGGACATTGGTTAAACTTTATAATTTGTAAAAAAAAAATTAGATATTTTCTATTTCGTAGGGGGGGGGGCGCTTAAAATTAGTGGGGGGGGGGGGTGGAGCGGACACTGGTTAAACTTTATAATTTGTAAAAAAAAATTAGATATTTTCTATTTCGTAGGGGGGGGCGCTTAAAATTAGTGGGGGGGGGGGTGGAGCGGACATTGGTTAAGTTTATAATTTTATAATAATATTAAAGATATTTTTTTCCGGGAAAGGGTGGCGGTGGGTGGGATCCGCCTAAAAGAAACTCTGGTAACAGTATAGAAATCTCGAGTCAAGAGAGGACCGTCGACACGATGTCCCACACTTAAAGGGCTCTCTTGGACCAGGAGTTAGAAGTTCTACACGAACCAGGAATTGGTGCCGTCAATATTTTATCGAGTAACGCGTCGGGCAAGTTTATCCATTGTTCTCTAGCACAAAGGGAAAATGGGAAGAATGTGGTGCGTGTAAACATGAAGACGAATACAAGTGCCATACTAGCAAGACCCATGGCTATGTATTGATGAATATTTGGGTTCGACTTTTACACAAAGAATATAACCTACAATAGCTGACCCGAGTACCGACGTTTTGTATTTTTAATCAGAACAAACTTTTAGCATTTGGTTGTTTTTTGCTGTGTATTTTAGTTTGTTTTAGTTTTTCTTATAAACAAATGCATAGTAAATAGATAATTTGTGTAATACATCTTGTCTGTAATTAGCAAACTTAAAGGTAAGAAAACGACTTACAGTCTACATTATGACTCAACCGCTCACTTTATTGCGGTACCCGCTTCAAATTAAAAAAAAGGTTTTGTACTTAAACTGAAAAATATTTAATCCTTTTTTGTCTTTAAATACAAGCAGGACACTTAATGTTTATTGTAGTGTTGTTGTTTTTTTCTCTTTATATAGACATATGTCATTAACGTGCTTTTCAGTGAAACGTGATAAATTAAAATTGGGTGGACTCGGGGACTGCTACCAATCTGGCCTGGGACCCGAACTCTAGACTTTCGGTTCACCATGCCGTCCCATACACCGCATCCTAGAGCGAATTAACTTTGTTGAACGAGACAGTAGTCTGTCTTGGTGTCTTTGCTTGAATGTCCTGTAGTAAAATACAAATTCGCTATACAAAAACGTGTCCATGTTTAGGTTCTAAAAGCCAATCTAACAAGAGCCTTGCATCTGTTTAAGTTCTAAACCCATCTAAGAAAATCTAATATCAGTGGCCCCTGCAATCACACTTTACCATTGGCTTCGGTTTTGAGCGGCTCTCTTTATGTGCACCCACGTAAACACAGCAGCCCTTGCCTCATCTTCTACTGACCCCCTCCAGGACTGCCTTGGTTGGCCTACTTTCCTCTTCCCCCTGGGGATTCCTGTCTTATGCTTTCCTCGCGAGGTTGTCCTCTCCCCTATCTATCCCCATGAGCAGGGTTTAATATCTCTGTCTATTGGATATAAAATTTGAAAAAAAACTTTCCGTGTCAAAAGTTCGAAATAACCCTACAATTAAAACATAATATCTGTCTATGTCTGAAGTCCTAAAGGCAATTTATAAAATCATAATAATTGTCCATATCTGAAGCTCTTAAAGCCCATCTATGAAAGCCTATTATCTGTCCATATCTCAAGTTCTTAAAGCCCATCAATGTAAGCCTCTTATTAATCCGTGTCTGAAGTACTTAAAGCCCATCAATGAAAGCCTCTTATCTGTCCATATCTGAAGTTTTAAAGCCCATCAATGTAAGCCTATTATCTGTTAATGTTAAAGTTTAAACAGCCCATCTATGAAAGCCTCTTATCTCTCCATATCTGAAATTCTTAAAGCCCATCATGCTCTGTCTACAGATGGGCGACTGGTCAACACACCCGACTGTCCAGCCGAGCCCCAGCCCGTAGCCAACTCCTACCGGTGGTCAGTGGGGGGTGGGGCCATGTACCAGTGTGTCCAGGGCTACAACATGACCACGGGGGGTAACTCGCTGAGCTGCTTGGCTGATGGGACGTGGAGTGGCGTCCCCCCAACTTGTGAACGTGAGTCCAAGTTTGTTGCAATCGTAAACTTTTACATTTGGTGAGTAGTAACTAGCAGATAGGTTTATTGTATAAACTTTTACATTTTGTTAGTAGTAGCTAGCAGGTTTTATTGTATAAACTTTTACATTTGGTGAGTAGTAGCTAGCAGGTTTTATTGTATAAACTTTTACATTTGGTGAGTAGTAGCTAGCAGGTTTTATTGTATAAACTTTTACATTTGGTGAGTAGTAGCTAGCAGATAGTTTTATTGTAAAAACTTTAAGATTTCGTGAGTAGAGAATATTTTCATTGTATTAACTTTAGGATTTTATGACAATATGTCCTACCAGGGGCGTAGCGAGGGGGGGGGGGGGGGCGGGGGGTGCGGACCGCACCGGATGACACCATTTAGGGGGGTAACACCAAGGCAAAAAATAGCAAAATATATGGAGAAAAAGTTGAGGGGGGGGGGGTGCAAATCGAAAGTTTGAGGGGGGGGGTGCAAATCGAAAATTTGAAAGTTTGTCCCCGGGTGACACCCGACCTCGCTACGCCACTGTGTCCTACTTTCACCATAGCCTTTCAGTTTAAGAGAATAGTTTCAGTTTCATCATTACAGTCAAGTACTTAGCATATATTTTATTTGTTGAAACTTCTATCCATTTATTGTTTTTACTTAATTGAATGACCATCCCATACCAGCTATCCTACATCCCACCAACATGATGACGTTTAAATGTTTCACCATAAACGTCTATAGCTACTAACCGGAGTCTTAACGACGATGTCACACAGTAACAACAATTGCATCTATAATTGATTGGAAAAGTTAACGATTATTTTAGACAGAATTAACAGAAAAACATTTTTTGTGACGGGTTAAAATCGTTATCCCACCTCTCACCACGCCCAGAGGCGTAGCGACCCTTCCCGGCGCCCGGGGACATACTTTCAATTTGGCGCCCCCTTGGGAGCAAATTTTCGATTTGCACCCCCCTCGAACTTTTCATTTGCACCCCCTCTCAAACTTTCGATTTGCACCCCCCCCTCGAACTTTTCATTTGCACCCGCCCCCCTCAAACTTTCAATTTGGCGCCCCCCCTAAGGTCGGCGCCCGGGGACATATGCCCCCCCCCCCCGCCCCCCCTCGCTACGTTACTGACCACGCCCCTACCCTTACATATTACACACCTAACGGAGTTATCTTTGCCTGACACAGTAACCTGCGGTAATCCCCCTTTGGTACCGGGGGCCAACATGGCTGGCTTCACCGTGTCGAACGGTGTGTTGATGGCCAGGTACCAGTGTCGGGCCACCTTTAACGTTACACACTACACGTCATGGCTGCCGTGTCAGACTGACGTGGGCTGCTGGATGACACCAGGTGTTATATGTCCAGGTGAGTCGTCTGCGGCACACTTACGTCATCTGCGCACATACGTCATCTATACACATACGTCATATATACACATACGTCATCTATACACATACGTCACATGTACACATACGTCATCTGCACACAAATATCATTTACACACGTAAGTTATCTAACTAGTGTCCAGGTACACAAATGTGTCATATACACATACAGCATCTACACACATGCATTATCTACACACATACAGCATCTACATGCATTATCTATACACATGTATTATTAACACACATGTGTCATCTACGCAAATATTAATATGTCATCTGCACAAATAGGTCATCTACACTCGTACATTATCGTTATATGTAATTTTTTACAAACATACAATATCTACACACAAATGTCATCTAAACTTATAATGACCTACATACTGTTCAGTACTTTAAGTTATTGTACCGTGTAGTATGTCAGAATAACTGTTGCCAAACACACACACACACACAAGCCAAGTCTTTGAATATGTGAAGCTCGGTACTGTCCAAACTTACACAGTGATTATCATTACCCTTTCGGACCTACTGGTCTTCTGGGAAGATGAAGTAGAGTTCACCTGTTTCTTGAAAAATATTGTTGTCAGTGATTTGATCAGCCACCTTAAGCTTCCCTAACTTGAGTCAGGCACTCATCAGAGCTGGGTGAACTCTTGGACGTCCTACAAGTTCGATTCCAGGATCCGAACTTGAGACTTTTGAATTATGAGTTGAGAGTTCCACCTCACGACCACGCCGTTACATAACGCAAATTACCTAGGTTTTTTCTACCATTTACTATGCGTGTAATTCTTACTTCAAAAGATGTGATTTGATAGTTTTCAAATACCGCCATTGGAGATATTCAGCATGGGGCGGACCCCCCCCCCCCTCTTACCTAGTCGCTTTGACATAGATTTGGCTGGCTGCCATTTAACAAGTCTTTACCACAACGCTCCCCAGAAAACTCATCCTTTACCGTCGACGTAATGTCGGGTGAGGACGTCACAGAGGTCTATGACGTCACCACCGTGAGCTCACCTGCAAGCAACAACCTGTATAACTCATCTAGCAGCTTAGAGCTTAACGTTAGCTCCGCTCGATTCTCGCAGCTTAACAACAGCTGTTTCAGGATAGACTTCGAAGAACCCAACAGTTTCAAATTTATTGAGTTTGAAATAGGAGACGGATCTAAAATGGTTGAGGCGGCATCGTTGGTGTTGCTGATGGAGACTATTGATATAGATACGTGTGAGTATATTTTCTTTTTCGTCCTCGTTTTCATCAAAAGTGATGAGAATAGCCATAGTTATCCAGTTGTTTAATGTAACAGCTTAGGTATAGATTTAGTTACAGGCTTTGATTGGCATTTAGATAAAGGCGTATGTTTACATTTAGGTATAGGCTTAAGTTTATTTATAGGTAGCGGCTTTGGTTGACCTTTAGGTAAAGGCTTTAGCTTCCATTTTAGTATGTGCTTAATTTTTACATTTAGGTAAACATACTTGCTTTATGTTTAGTAAAAATCTTAGCTTTATGTTAAGGTGAAATCTGAGGTTTACTATTGGGTAAAGAGTTAGGCTTTGTTAATTAGAGAGCTTGAGGCTGTGTATGTTTGTTAAGCCTTCAGTTTGAGATAAGAAAAAAGTTTAGTTATTTGGCTCTAAATCAGTACCAGTAGCTTTATAGTTTGCAATGATGTTTACATTGTGAGTTTATAATGTTAGCTAGTGTGTTGATGGTGTTCACCTTGTTTAGCGATGATGTTTGTTTACAAAGTGTGTGGATGGTGTTCACCTAATTTGGTTATGGTATTTGTTTACCAAGTGTGTTGATGGTCTTCAACTTGTTTGGTGGTGGTGTTTGTTTATCTAGTGTGTGGATGATGTTTACCTACTATATTGGTTGTGTTTACCTTGTTTAGTGATGGTGTTTTCCTAGTGTTGATGATGTTTACCTACTATGTTGATGGTATTTACCTTGTTTAGTGATGGTGTTTGTGTTGATGTTTGTGTTTAGCTTGTTTACTAATACTGTTCTCCCTATGTTTGTAAGCTGTAGAATGCATGACAACATCCCTGGACCCTAAAAACAAGACCATTAACGGCCAACTTTACACCGGAACCGCCAACACCACAGTGTCCGGGTTACCATGCCAACCGTGGGCGTCCATGACACCCCACCCCCATACGTACAACAACCTCAGCACCACCGTGTTTCCGGATCCGGCTTTTGCGAACGTCAACAATTTTTGCCGGAATCCCGGAAAGAGCGGAAGTTACAAGGACAGGCCGTGGTGTTTCACGATGAACTCGACGGTGGAGTGGGAATTCTGTAGCGTCCCAGAGTGTGGTAAGTGGTTTTTTGTTGGTTATTGTTACTGTTTATTGTTACTGTTTATTGTTACTGTTTATTGTTACTGTTTATTGTTACTGTTTATTGTTACTGTTTATTGTTACTGTTTATTGTTACTGTTTATTGTTACTGTTTATTGTTACTGTTTATTGTTACTGTTTATTGTTACTGTTTATTGTTACTGTTTATTGTTACTGTTTATTGTTACTGTTTATTGTTACTGTTTATTGTTACTGTTTATTGTTACTGTTTATTGTTACTGTTTATTGTTACTGTTTATTGTTACTGTTTATTGCTGCTGTTTATTGTTACTGTTTATTGTTACTGTTTATTGTTACCTTTTTTTGCTACTGTTTATTGCTACTGTTTATTGTTACTGTTTATTATTACATAGAGGGAAAATTTTCTTTTTAATTCTATAAATTCGTGAAAATCACGAAAAGGTTTTTTCGTGTATTCTGCAACTCAAAATGTGATGAGAGTTTTTTTTTTTTTTTTTTTGCTAAACCTATAACAACCAGAAATATATAAAGTGGTTTTTATTGATTAAAATTTGCAGCATTTAGGAAAATTTGAGAATATGGAAAATGGTTTTTGCTGCCTAGTTAAATCAGGATTTACATCATATGCCGTGGGTGACATCGTTTTGAAAAGAAAAGAAAATCGTCTTTAGGTTGTCTGAGCATTAGTTTCTTTCGTGTATCTTATTTTCAAAAAAGAGAGCAAAGACATACAGAGAGTGATGTATACTAGACATCTAACGTCGAAACTAAAAAAAGATTCCTAGAGGAATATTTACGCTATAAACCCCAGCTGAAAATAATAAAAACGTACCCAAGCTATAAACCTATCTCAAAACAGCAAAAACTTACTCAAACTTAGAATCAAACTACCGGTGATCTTCTAATGTAAAAAGCCAACAAGAGCAGTTGCCAACAAACTTAGGTTGAAAGTGACATGGAAATAATTTATTTATTGGGTAGAAAAATCCATTACCATAATTACAATCAAGACTAAATCGATGTAAATTTATGATTTGATGTGACGCTTTTTTATCTGATCTTACGAGAGGCAGTAAAGTATAACAGCCTTTATGACGTAACATTGTCAACATAAGTGGTCGTTAAAGTAATGTATTTGCCTACCAGTATTGATTTGCTAATAAAAAATGTATAAAGGGTGACAGGACAAATGATCTCAGGACAAATGATCTCAGACAAAATATCTCAGACAAAATATCTCAGACAAAATATCTCACGGACAAATGATCTCAGGACAAATGATATCAGGACAGATGATCTCAAGGACAAATGATCTCACGGACAAAAGATACCAGGACAAAACATATCAGGACAAATGATATCATGGACAAATGATCTCAGACAAAATATCTCAGACAAAATATCTCACACCTAAATTGTAATAGCGTAGTTGATGATTTTAGTTGATCTGAATTTTTTTATTGATTGTCATATGGTTTTGTTTACTATGTTTAATATTGTTTATAGGCCTATATAATAATCGTAAAAAATGTTTGCCGTATAAATTTGTCATATTGCACTAAACATTTTAAAGTTAGTATTTGTAATATAGTATACGAAGATTAAAGAAATGTTTTCGATAGACAGCGTAGGTGGGCTTAACAAACATTAGACAATCCTACCATGTCAGGTGGACGAAACTTGATCAAAAGGAATGAAATAACAATGAAGACACACCTTCGTATCAAGGTGGCCTCCCCTTTGATAGCAGAGACATGCCTTAAGGGAAAGACATCCGCCCTCCATGGACAACACAACTAGCCTCTAAAGTCCATTGTTGTGCGTCGGTCACACCTTAGTGATCAGGTGACACATGCTTACTTAAACAAACAGGTCATCGCGGAGCTAAGTTTGTCGTAGGGTGCATCAAACAAAGCAGTATTAGTGGTGATTACTCAGCTAGCGCCTCTTTCGTTACCTCGCAGAAAGGTTTTAGGAATTCTGGTGAATTTATGTTTGCCATAAACAGGCAAAGATATTTGGAAATGTGAAATTAGGACATGTCGAGTAAGAGCTCACACAATAGATCATCACATAATATTGGAGAGGTGTGATCATATTGATGTACCTGCCAGCAAAGAAACGTAAACATTATGTTTGTGTTCATGAATCATCAATGATGATGCAATAAAAACAATAGTTTAACGTTACAAACCTGGAGACCCATTCACATTTTTAGAAAATATTTCGCGTGTTTTGAACCTTAATGTTGTATAACTACCGTTACTTTATTTGTTTTATACATTATCATGTATTATACCTTTGAGGCTAAAGGAGTAAATTTGTTATAATTTTTACTTTTTCAAATCAAATGCTACTACAAAGTTTAATAAATCTTTTAATGGTTGGTTAGGTTTAACAAATTCATTTTATTCACAATTATTAAGCGTAAAATAGTAAACAAAACCATATTAACAGTCAATAAAAAAGTTCAAATCATCTAGGGTCTTCGTACATACTATTAAAATTCCGCTGTGAGATATTTTGTCTGAGATATTTTGTCTGAGATCATTTGTCCATGATATCATTTGTCCTGATATGTATTGTCCTGGTATCTTTTGTCCGTGAGATCATTTGTCCTTGAGATCATTTGTCCTGAGATCATTTGTCCTGAGATCATTTGTCCGTGAGATATTTTGTCTGAGATATTTTGTCTGAGATCATTTGTCCTGAGATCATTTGTCATGGAACCGTATAAAGACCTCTTTTTATACGACGTTTGTATTTTTTAGAACCGAACTAATCATTAAAATCTATAAAAGTTACATTTTTTACTGTGATTTTTTTTTTACGAGACAATATTTCATCCTTTGATTTGATTGATTTAATGTTGCCTATTACGCTTCATTAGTTTCCCTTTAAAAATTAATTAAACTTTGATGTTTGTGACGTAGTTAATGAACCCATTTGTAATCATAGTAAAAACGCAGACATAAAAACCTATCCTCTAATGGAGAAACTTCATGGCACAGAAAGGGTTCAACTGTTGTTTCTGGCACAGAAAGGGTTAAACTTTTGTTTCTGGCACAGAAAGGGTTAAGCTTTTGTTTCTGGCACAGAAAGGGTTAAGCTTTTGTTTCTGGCACAGAAAGGGTTAAACTGTTGTTTCTGGCACAGAAAGGGTTAAACTGTTGTTTCAGCCCGCTTCACCGTGGGGGTCAACTTGACCGACCCTGAGGACAGGACGTCGTCCAGCTATTTCTGTGGTCAGACCAGCTTCTATACGTCACAGGCCGTCAACAACGTCACGCTTAAGTGTCAGGGGAACCCGTGAGTTTTGTCTGTCCAACATAGTTTTGTTTGTCTGACAAAATATGTCCAACAAAATTTGTGTCTGTCTGACAAAATATGTACAACAAAGTTTGTGTTAGTCTGGCATAATATGTCCAATAACGTTTGTGTTTGTCCATTTGTGTCCAACAAAGTTTGTGTCTGTCTGACAAAATATGTCCAACAAAGTTTGTGTCTGTCCATTTGTGTCCAGCAACGTTTGAGTTTGTCCATTGTGTCCAACAAAGTTTATGTTTGTCTGACATACCTACAACAAAGTATGTGTTTGTCATTTTTGTCCAACAAAGTTTATGTTTGTCTGACATAGGCCTACCTACAACAAAGTTTGTGTTTGTCCATTATGTCCAACAAAGTTTATGTTTGTCTGACATACCTACAACAAAGTTTGTGTTTGTCTGACAACATATGTCCAACAAAGTTTGTGTTTGTCTATTAATGTCCAGATCAGTTTGTATTTGTTCAACAATCAAAAAATCACATGCATTTTCCAAAACCAACATCACCATAAATATACAATCAAAAATTTCCATAAATGTATTACTACTAAAAAATATCTAAATATAATCACATTTTTTTTTAAATAACATAAATCTCCCACATTCTAAATTTCCCATGATTGTAAAAACAATCTCTCACATGTATGTAGGATCAAACAATAGCATAAAAGTAACAAAAACAGACGAAATAAATGTACTACAAGTAACAATCCATTATGTGTGCACGCAATCACACAATCATTTAATTCTATACAATCCCAAAATACCCTCAATGTACCACATCAAACAATCATTTAATTCTATACAATCACAAAATACCCTCAACGTACCACAATCAAACAATCTTTTAATTCTATACAATTAGAAAATACCCTCAACGTACCACAATCGAACAATCATTTAATTCTATACAATCACAAAATACCCTCAATGTACCACAATCAAACAATCCCAAAAAAATCTACGCTGTTGTAATGTTCATTGAAAAAATCTACAGCTATTTTCTTTTTTCTATATACTTTTATACTCAATTAAAACTCATTAAATGGAGTTAGTTTTTTTATATAATAAAAGCATCCAACCCAAAAAAACTGTATTTATAGGTGGCTGAGGTCCTTGGGTAATTACGTGCACTAATTAACAGACATGTCAGGCACATGAATACACTTTATTCTAAGCTATACAGTATCCCCGTCCCCACCCACGTCCCCCACCCCCGTCCCCATTGACATGTTGGCTGTGACTTAATGGCTCTTCCCTGTACCCCCCGCGTCCCCACCTCTTTTACCCTAGAGTACCGGGTTAGTGCTTTTAAAAAAATCGTTCGGTTTATTTTTATGGGACGTTTTTTATCATTGGACATTGTTCACTAAAAGAAGATTATTTGCATACTGAGGTGCAAGGGCACTTGTTTCTATGTCTACTTGTAATTAGGGTCTTTTATTTTATTTTTTAAATTGGTTTGGTATTGGAAACAGGAAACGTGTTCAGATCTCTCGATATTCTAACCAATATGTAGTGGCTATATAGGGCTATGTAGGGGGTATGTAGGGCTATATTGGGGTCTGTAGGGGCTATGTAGGGGGTATATAGGGCTTTAGTAGGGGGTATGTTGGGCTTTAGTAGGGGGTATTTAGGGCTTTAGTAGGGGGTATTTAGGGCTTTAGTAGGGGATATTTAGGGCTTTAGTAGGGGGTATTTAGGGGCCTGTATGGGGGTATGTATGGGGGTATGTATGGGGGTATGTATGGGGGTATGTATGGGGGTTATGTATGGGGGGTATGTATGGGGGGTATGTATGGGGGTATGTATGGGGGTATGTATGGGGGTTATGTATGGGGGGTATGTATGGGGGCCTTTATGGGGGTATGTATGGGGGGTATGTAGAGTATGTGCTATGTATGGGGTATGTAGTGCCTATATATTTGGTATGTAGGGTATATGTAGGGGTAAGTTAGGGCTATTTAAAGGATATATAGTGTGTAAGGGTCTTTAAAATTGTGCAGGCTTAGCTAGCACTTTTTTGCGTTGAAGTGGTAGAACAAAGTGCTTAATATAGACCCGTGGGAACTATGTAAGGGCTATATAAGGGGGATATGTAGATATGTATAGTATGTGTAGTTGCTATGTAGGGGCTATGCAAGGGATATGCAGGTGCTATATAGGTGCTATGCTGGGGTATGTAGAAGGGATGTGGGTCCTATGTAAGGACTATGTAGCTTGTAAGTGTCTTTAAAATTGTGCCGGTTTAGTTAGCAATTTTTGAGATTCTGAAATTGAGATGGCAGGACAAAGTGCCAGACATAGACTTGTGGAGATGGACAAGGTAGGGGCCCATGATATTGTAGATAAGAACGAGTAAGGGGGGGGGGGGGGTCTGGGGGGGTCTTAGCGATAGGCACACACAAATTTGACACGTCAGGCGCTTGAGTGGAACCCAGGGAAGGCAGAGGCGTAGCGAAAGGGGACGGGGACGGAGGTACATATGTCCCCGGGCGTCGACCTTAGGGGGCGCCAAAATGGGTTGGGGAAAACATTAAATGCTCATTTTAGCTGCAGATTTGCATTATACATTTTTTTTAAATATATGGGGGAGGGGGCGCCAAATTGAAAGTTTGTCCCTGGGTGCCGGGAAGGGTCGCTGCGCCTCTGATGGTAGGTGATCGAGGGGGCACCCAAGACAGACCTGGAGGCTGAGTCTTGTTAAAGAACTAAAGACCACAAGGATATCTTGGGGCACTGTACAATACACAACCGTGTACCGGATACAGTGGAAGATTTTAGCTGAGATCCTAAGCTCCACAAGAAGTAAAGAGGATTGAGTTAAAGCAAGTCAAGAAAATAAAGTGGATACCCATGAATTAGCTGCAAGATGATGTCCACTTGACATGCACTGAGAGAGATACAGTTCTAAAACTTGATGGACGTTTGATAAAAAAAATGGACGAGCATTTCTTTCAAGGTCAATTAACGATTGCAACAGTTCTGGATATCGATGATGTCACAGGCATGCGCAGTGGATCAATACCACTCGGAAGTATGAAAAATCTTAACGGGCAACTTGTCCTGGCTAGCGGAAATAATAACTAAAATAGCCCACGGGGCTTCGTGGTATCTGGACAACAGACTTCGAGCTGAAAGTAAATAAATTCAGGGAAAAAATGAACCAAAGAATTCTCAAGTGGTTTAGTTTTTGGAAATATTCATTTTTAAACAGAAAACGAACTAATAGATTAAGGCTAGGTTGTTTTTTTTTTAATGTACTTTACTGATGGTATATTTTAACAAATGGGTCGGTAAAGTTTCACTAATTAGGTAATGTGTTAGCGATTCTATAATTTACAGTGATAAGATTGAAGGTTGGGGAAGGCGTGGTATAGCGGTTGAGCGCTAGACTGCTAGCCCGAGAGTCGTGGGTTCGAATCCGGGTTCAAGTCACGTTAGGGAAACAAAAACAGCTGGGATAGTGCTAACCCAACTATTCCCCCCGTGTATGACGTTGAACTCTGCTTCATCTGCCCCGTGTGTCGAACACAAACGGAAAAAGATGATCAGTTAATTAACAGGTGGATTGTTAAAATATGAGCTAATTTGTTGCCAATCACAGCTCGACTCTAATTATCCATTCCCTAATTATCACATTATCTAAACCTTGACACTAACCCTAATTCTAACATTAACAGCGACAATAATAATGTTACATTTAACCTTATGTTTTTGTTTATTCAAACTAAACTTTTTCCAATGAAGTTAAAGTTTAAGCCAATGTTAAACCTATGTTACATAATAATTTACATTATAAACGTTTTCGAAATATGACAAGTTTCATCCAATGTCTCACATTGAAACAAAAGTATAAACGGTTTACAAATAAATGTTTAATTCAATCGTATGTTACTGTTGTAAATTGTTAATGGTAAATTGTTACTGTTGTAAATTGTTAATGGTAAACTGTCACTGTTGTAAATTGTTAATGGTAAATTGTTACTGTTGTAAATTGTTAATATTCTCAGGGTGAATGTTAACTTTCTCAGGGTAAATGTTAACATTCACAGGTAAATGTTAACATTCTCAGGGTAATATCAACTTTCTCTGGGTAAATGTTAACATTCTCAGGGTAAATGTTAACATTCTCATGGAAATAACAACTTTCTCTGGGTAAATGTTGACATTCTCAGGGTAAATGTTAACTTTTGTTTGCCCACAGTACCCAACCGTTCGGGTCGTCTGTCACGTTGTCCGTCAACTCGTCAGCTGTCAGACCGTTATATCTGTGTGGTCTGACGCCGTACGGCATGGTCCATGAAGGTCAGTTCCAGTTTGTTTAAGCTTAATTACATTTAGCTCATTTTATTACATTTTGCCTAGTTATATTTAGCTCAAATACATTAATTAAGCCTATTATATTTCGCTCCTTTAAATTAGCCCTTGTACACGTATCTCAATTACATTTAGGTAATTGCATTTAGCTCTATTAAATTTAGCTTAATTACATTTTCATTTTAGCCTAATTACATCTACCCCAATTTTATTTCGCAGAATTAAACTTAGTGAAGCTCAAACAAGCTCATTTAAATTTAACTTAAGGAAATTCAGCTCATCAGAAATCTACAAACAATTTTATAAATAAATAAATCAAAATTATATATAATTGCCTTGTCATCAGATATGCAATTACCAACAAACTTAAAAAGAAAATTCCAAATTAGAGTTAGGCAAACATTGATTTACGTGAGTTGCCCACAAACCCGCACACAGACAACCAAAAGCGACAGAGCAAAAGCTTGTAAAGAATAGACATCTGAGTACTGGGATAAGATTTACTAACATCACCTCCCCGTACCTACTGATAGAAAACGTGTATGAAAATGCCTACCTTACCATGCGGTTTTGTTATAGAGCTACTAATTTATCCCCCCCCCCCCCCCCGCCTCATTTTCATCTCATCACCCCCCCCCCTTTCCAGGCGGATGTGGAGAGCCGCTCTACCAGAGAGGCTGGTACCTGGCGACCTTGACCTCGTATAATGTCAACGCCGAGGCGGACTTCGAGTGCGCCAGCGGCTTCCATTACATTCAAGGTGAAGGTCACATCAAGTGCCTGGAGTCAAGGTCTTGGACAGTACCCACACTGGTGTGTTCTGGTGAGTGATGTGTTCTGGTGAGTGATGTGTTCTGGTGAGTGATGTGTTCTGGTGAGTGATGTGTTCTGGTGAGTGATGTGTTCTGGTGAGTGATGTGTTCTGGTGAGTGATGTGTTCTGGTGAGTGATGTGTGTGTTCTGGTGAGTGATGTGTTCTGGTGAGTGATGTGTGTATTCTGGTGAGTGATGTGTTCTGGTGAGTGATGTGTTCTGGTGAGTGATGTGTTCTGGTGAGTGATGTGTTCTGGTGAGTGATGTGTTCTGGTGAGTGATGTGTTCTGGTGAGTGATGTGTTCTGGTGAGTGATGTGTTCTGGTGAGTGATGTGTTCTGGTGAGTGATGTGTTCTGGTGAGTGATGTGTGTGTTCTGGTGAGTGATGTGTTCTGGTGAGTGATGTGTGTGTTCTGGTGAGTGATGTGTGTATTCTTGTGAGTGATGTGTTCTGGTGAGTGATGTGTGTGTTCTTGTGAGTGATGTGTTCTGGTGAGTGATGTGTGTATTCTTGTGAGTGATGTATTCTGGTGAGTGATGTGTTCTGGTGAGTGATGTGTTCTGGTGAGTGATGTGTGTGTTCTGGTGAGTGATGTGTGTATTCTTGTGAGTGTGTTCTGGTGAGTGATGTGTTCTGGTGAGTGATGTGTTCTGGTGAGTGATGTGTTCTGGTGAGTGATGTGTTCTGGTGAGTGATGTGTTCTGGTGAGTGATGTGTGTGTTCTGGTGAGTGATGTGTTCTGGTGAGTGATGTGTTCTGGTGAGTGATGTGTTCTGGTGAGTGATGTGTTCTGGTGAGTGATGTGTTCTGGTGAGTGATGTGTGTGTTCTGGTGAGTGATGTGTTCTGGTGAGTGATGTGTTCTGGTGAGTGATGTGTTCTGGTGAGTGATGTGTTCTGGTGAGTGATGTGTGTGTTCTGGTGAGTGATGTGTTCTGGTGAGTGATGTGTGTGTTCTGGTGAGTGATGTGTTCTGGTGAGTGATGTGTGTGTTCTGGTGAGTGATGTGTTCTGGTGAGTGATGTGTTCTGGTGAGTGATGTGTGTATTCTGGTGAGTGATGTGTTCTGGTGAGTGATGTGTTCTGGTGAGTGATGTGTTCTGGTGAGTGATGTGTTCTGGTGAGTGATGTGTTCTGGTGAGTGATGTGTTCTGGTGAGTGATGTGTTCTGGTGAGTGATGTGTGTGTTCTGGTGAGTGATGTGTTCTGGTGAGTGATGTGTGTGTTCTGGTGAGTGATGTGTGTATTCTTGTGAGTGATGTGTGTATTCTTGTGAGTGATGTGTGTATTCTTGTGAGTGATGTGTTCTGGTGAGTGATGTGTGTGTTCTTGTGAGTGATGTGTTCTGGTGAGTGATGTGTGTATTCTTGTGAGTGATGTATTCTGGTGAGTGATGTGTTCTGGTGAGTGATGTGTTCTGGTGAGTGATGTGTGTGTTCTGGTGAGTGATGTGTGTGTTCTGGTGAGTGATGTGTTCTGGTGAGTGATGTGTTCTGGTGAGTGATGTGTTCTGGTGAGTGATGTGTTCTGGTGAGTGATGTGTTCTGGTGAGTGATGTGTTCTGGTGAGTGATGTGTGTGTTCTGGTGAGTGATGTGTTCTGGTGAGTGATGTGTGTGTTCTGGTGAGTGATGTGTGTATTCTTGTGAGTGATGTGTGTATTCTTGTGAGTGATGTGTGTATTCTTGTGAGTGATGTGTTCTGGTGAGTGATGTGTGTGTTCTTGTGAGTGATGTGTTCTGGTGAGTGATGTGTGTATTCTTGTGAGTGATGTATTCTGGTGAGTGATGTGTTCTGGTGAGTGATGTGTTCTGGTGAGTGATGTGTGTGTTCTGGTGAGTGATGTGTTCTGGTGAGTGATGTGTTCTGGTGAGTGATGTGTTCTGGTGAGTGATGTGTTCTGGTGAGTGATGTGTTCTGGTGAGTGATGTGTTCTGGTGAGTGATGTGTGTGTTCTGGTGAGTGATGTGTTCTGGTGAGTGATGTGTTCTGGTGAGTGATGTGTTCTGGTGAGTGATGTGTTCTGGTGAGTGATGTGTGTGTTGTGGTGAGTGATGTGTTCTGGTGAGTGATGTGTTCTGGTGAGTGATGTGTTCTGGTGAGTGATGTGTTCTGGTGACTTGATACGGGTATTTTTTGGGTTTCGGTAAGTGATTTGTCTAATCTGGTGAGTGACTGTTAAAAAACTGGAACTTCACTTCGAACATCTCAAAGAAAACTAAAATAGCTCACCAAAGACGTCATCTAAAGACGTCAACTAAAGACGTCAACCAAAGACGTCAAACAACTACTCTTATCCTACAGATGACGTCAACTATGGGTTGAGCGCCGCAGGCAGCAACCTGCAGGACGGCAACCTGACAACCTGCAACATTTACCTGAGTGGCAGCTCCACCGCGCAGGTGGACTTGGACGACCTGGTGGAGGTTCGTTCACTGACCTTGACCTTTGGGGGTGAGTTGATGACGGATGCAGTTTTTCTCTGTTGTGTGTTCGATCAGATAGGGCCCCATTGAGACTAGGGCGTCACTTGAACCGTCGAATTGCAGGAAATTAAAAACCAAACCGTGATAGTATTTTTTCTCAATATTTTCCCACTAACCGTTTAGTTCCGGGCAGTCACGAACAATCCCGAATAGTCCCGAATAGTCCCGAATAGTCCCGAATAGTCCCGAGTAATCCCGAAAAGTCCCGAAAATTTGTTTTAACTTCATATTTAGTAGCTCGTGATAATGTTGAGGTACTTTCATCAGTACATTACAAAATGCTTTCCCCCCCCCCCCCCCCACCCGAACGAAATGGAATTTATATAGAAAACATGTACTTTTACCAGTGTCCGCCCCCCCCCCCGCAAAATAAGAAATATGACGTACTGTTCAACATCCCATGTGATGCAGCACATCTGTCACTCAAAAGCACATACCTCATCCATCACACATCCACCAACACACTCAACAACACACCTGTCATCCAACAACTCACCTGTCATCCAACAACTCACCTGTCATCCAACAACTCACCTGTCATCCAACAACTCACCTGTCATCAAACAACTCACCTGTCCTCCCTGTCATCCAACAACTCACCTGTCATCCAACAACTCACCTGTCATCAAACAACTCACCTGTCATCCAACAACTCACCTGTCATCCAACAACACACCTGACATCCTTCGTACATCTTATACCTGCCAGATGCCGCACATCCGAACATCACTGTCATGGCCGTCCTGCCTGCAGGTCACCTGCGAGAGTGCAGGAGCCTGCAGGAAACCCTGCACGGGTATTACGTCCAGTGTCCAGCCTACCCAGTCACCAAACGGCTGATGATCACCTTGACCTCACCAGCTAAGCTGTGTGAGGTCAAGGTCTTTGGACGTCTGTTTACATCAGGTAATGTATGATCACGTGATGTATTTCAAGGGGTAGGCGTGGTCGAGTCGGTAAAGCTCATGGTTGCTAAACCGAAAAGTCTCGAGTTCGAACCCTCGCGCAGGTGAGGCTCGTTAGCTGGGGACAGCCACTCTTCTAGGAGAGACAACTCAAAAATCAAACAACTGCTGCCTTGTAGTTTGTTCTTGGTTGGAAGCAAATCCAATAAAATACTTTAAAAAAACTTTTTAAAAAACCACGTTTTTCTTGTGGACTAAAAAGTAGAAAATAACTATTTACATACATTTGATGACAAAAAACGTGGGAACGTTCACAATCAAATTTCCCGACCCATCTGCCCGACCCACGTTTTTTGTCATCAAATGTATGTAAATAGTTATTTTCTACTTTTTAGTCCACAAGAAAAACGTGGTTTTTTAAAAAGTTTTTTTTAAGTATTTTATTTTCTCCTTTTTAGTCCGTTGCTACACATGAAAAACGTGGTTTTTAAAAAAAGTTTTTTATATAGTTTATTTTCTACTTTATCCAATGACTTGATTAAGTATGACTTGACTAAGTGTTTATAAATACACGGACTAAAAATCTTGAGCGACCAGGATTCGAACCTGGGTTGTCGCGGCCACAAAGCGAAGTACTAACCACTATACGATCACGGCCAGCGCGCTCACATCGATTGGGGCCGAAGTAACTGTGTCAATAGGACTTCAGTCTTGTCGGTATCTTTAGAAATCATGTCCTCAATTTTATGGTCCTTAGGGCGTAATTAAATTAAGCTAATTACGATCTCTAATTGCTAGTTTTTATGATTGCATCTGAAATTGTTAGGCGAAAGTAGCCTGCATGCCAAATTTCAGATCTATAGAGCAATCAGAAGTGGGCTAATTTTCGATGTCAATTTTAACAACAAACAAACACACGCGAAGCTGAGTTAATAAAAACGTGTTAAAAAGATAAGCAGGCTGAAATCGGAGTCAATGGCCTCAACGGCGCATAACCAGTTGACACGTAATCCTTAATTGTGATGGAAGCATGGTCGAGTCGGCAAAAGCTCATGGTTGATAAATTCGAAAAAAGTCTCGAGTTCAAACCCTCTGGCAGATAAGGCTCGATCCCTCCCAACACTAAAAATTAAGAACGAAGAAGAAGAACATAATTGATTGAACTGTATGTTGTAATATACCAACAGTATATACGGCTTTCACAGAAAGACCAAGCCCCCCCCCCCCCCCACAAGAGAAACCCATCCCCTCCCAGGGACCACACACTCCCGACAGACTCTAACAAAGACAGTACACAGACACACAACGGTAACAGTTGGTAGGGAAACACTAAACGTTTTGGTGATGGCGTGATCTAGAGGACCCTGAGTCCATCCAACCCTAATGGGTACCTAACTCACGTTAGCGAAAGTAAGAGGCCGCAGGGCATAGTGCAAATCATACTATCCCGTCATATGTCAAGGTCACACTATCCCTTCATATGTTGTGACACATTCTATTTAAACATATTCCATGTTGACTCACATTATGATGATACTTGCTTTTATGACAAATAAGTACTTGGATCCCATATTAATCAAATCAACAGTTCAAGATATGCTATTTTGTTTCCTTCACTTCATAATCAGCTGTTTCCTTCATACCTAGCTGTTGCCTTCATGCCCCCTGTTGCTCTAACCCAGGGGTCTCCAAACTACGGCCCGCGGGCCGGATGCGGCCCTCGAGGTCCTCTCATCCGGCCCGCAGAGATCTTTTTGTCCAAGGAAAAATCGTTTGTTAGTGATGGCTGAGGAACTTTGCCCAGAAAAATCAGAAATGCCTGGAAGAAACTGGCCCCCGAACTGAAATGTGATAGTTAATGCGGCCCACGGACTGAAAAGTTTAGAGACCTCTGCTCTAACCAAAAGATTTCTATATCTACCCCAGCCCTCGAGTGCCGACAGACAGACTCTGGCACCGACTACAAAGGTCAGCACAACGTCACCAACAACGGCCAGCCCTGCGCTGATTGGTCCTTCATCGCCACCAAGAACTACAACTTCAGCGACTACGAGTTTCCAGACGGCAACATCAGTGACGTCAGAAACTTCTGCAGGTATACGTTTTTTTTTTGTTTACGCTGAATGCGGTGATCTTTTTTTTTTAAATACACGACACTAATGCATTTGTCTATTTGTCCATCGTTATCTTTAAATTCTGCTTCAACTTATAAGTGTAAGAAAAGATCTTCGTAATCAAAACTTTAAAACATAATTTTCCAAAAAATCATCCTTTATATATTTTCGCAAAACACAATCTTTCACTTCAGCTACTAAAAGAATTTTTGGAACTTAAGAACAAGCAGAAGACGTAGACTTTTTTCATAGAACTTTTTAGTAATATGATCTTTAACATAAAGGTGTGAAAGTTTGGGGGGACCCTGTTTGACATCGCAATAAATGGATTGACACTGACTTTTCAAAGTATAAAACATACACTATAGATAGTTAAGTAGCTTTAGTATTGAAATAAGGAAAAAGAAAATCTGGAAAATGAAAACTTCTATCGAAAAAGGTAGCTTTTTTTAAATTTTAATGCCTTAAATGTATAGTGGATTAAAAGTAATAATAATTTCAGAAAAAATGTCAATATTTATTTGTGTGCACTCTATGTTTTCAGAAACCCCATACTCAAGTCAACGGGTCAACCTCTGACGTCATACAGACCCATCTGCTACTACCACATCCCTGCTCAGTACATGACAGGGTGGGGCTACTGTGATCTATTTGCATGTAGTAAGTTTAGGGTGGGGCTACTGTGATCTATTCGCCTGTAGTAAGTTTAGGGTGGGGCTACTGTGATCTTTTCGCCTGTAGTAAATTTAGGGTGGGGCTACTGTGATCTATTTGCATGTAGTAAGTTTAGGGTGGGGCTACTGTGATCTATTTGCATGTAGTAAGTTTAGGGTGGGGCTACTGTGATCTATTTGCATGTAGTAAGTTTAGGGTGGGGCTACTGTGATCTATTTGCATGTAGTAAGTTTAGGGTGGGGCTACTGTGATCTATTTGCATGTAGTAAGTTTAGGGTGGGGCTACTGTGATCTATTTGCATGTAGTAAGTTTAGGGTGGGGCTACTGTGATCTATTTGCATGTAGTAAGTTTAGGGTGGGGCTACTATGATCTATTCGCTTGTAGTAAGTTTAGGGTGGGGCTACTATGATCTATTCGCTTGTAGTAAGTTTAGGGTGGGGCTACTGTGATCTATTTGCATGTAGTAAGTTTAGGGTGGGGCTACTATGATCTATTCGCTTGTAGTAAGTTTAGGGTGGGGCTACTGTGATCTATTTGCATGTAGTAAGTTTAGGGTGGGGCTACTGTGATCTATTTGCATGTAGTAAGTTTAGGGTGGGGCTACTATGATCTATTCGCTTGTAGTAAGTTTAGGGTGGGGCTACTGTGATCTATTTGCATGTAGTAAGTTTAGGGTGGGGCTACTGTGATCTATTTGCATGTAGTAAGTTTAGGGTGGGGCTACTGTGATCTATTTGCATGTAGTAAGTTTAGGGTGGGGCTACTGTGATCTATTTGCATGTAGTAAGTTTAGGGTGGGGCTACTATGATCTATTCGCTTGTAGTAAGTTTAGGGTGGGGCTACTGTGATCTCTTCGCCTGTAGTAAGTTTAGGGTGGGGCTACTATGATCTATTCGCTTGTAGTAAGTTTAGGGTGGGGCTACTGTGATCTCTTCGCCTGTAGTAAGTTTAGGGTGGGGCTACTATGATCTATTCGCTTGTAGTAAGTTTAGGGTGGGGCTACTATGATCTTTTTGCTTGTAGTAAGTTTAGGGTGGGGCTACGGTGATCTTTTTGCTTGTAGTAAATTTAGGGTGGGACTACTGTGATCTTTTCGCTTGTAGTAAGTTTAGGGTGGGGCTACTATGATCTTTTGGCTTCTAGTAAGTGTAGGGTGGGGCTACGGTGATCTTTTTGCTTGTAGTAAATTTAGGGTGGGACTACTGTGATCTTTTCGCTTGTAGTAAGTTTAGGGTGGGGCTACGGTGATCTTTTTGCTTGTAGTAAATTTAGGGTGGGACTACTGTGATCTTTTCGCTTGTAGTAAGTTTAGGGTGGGGCTACGGTGATCTTTTTGCTTGTAGTAAATTTAGGGTGGGACTACTGTGATCTTTTCGCTTGTAGTAAGTTTAGGGTGGGGCTACTATGATCTTTTGGCTTCTAGTAAGTGTAGGGGAGAATAAATGTGATCTTTTGCCTTCTAGTAAGTTTAGAGGAGATTTACTGTGATCTTTTCGCTTAGTAAGTTTAGGGTAGAATAAATGTGATCTATTTGCATGTAGTAAGTTTAGGGGAGAATTACTGTGATCTATTTGTAGTTGTAAATAAAGGATAGAATAAGTGACGATTTTTTTAGTTGTCCCGATATATTTAGTCCTGGGATTTTATATCCGTGAGATCTTGTCGTGGGATATTTTGTCCTGATATCATTTGTCACGGAACTTTTTTTTTTAACTATCAGGACAAGTTTTGATTGATAATATCTAACTTGTTTGGTATTGTCAACTGTATGTAGAAATTAAAAATCATTAAATCATATATGCAATAAAAAAATATTTATTTGTCGATCGATTGAAAAACCAATTTGCAAACGTGTATAACGATTTTTTTTAAATTGTCGATTTCTTGATGTGTTTATCTATTTCCCTAGACAAGGGCTGTAGGTCTACACGAGAGGGCAGGGAATACACTGGACAAATCGATTATGTCGGCCTGACAAAACTGACCGGAACTTCATGCGTTGTGTGGAATTCTGGGATTTCTCTGTTTAAGAGAAAGTCGGATTTTTCCAGCAACGGTAAAATGATTCAAATTACAAGTAGCACTGTTCTATTTCTAAAATAATAATGTCTGTCTTGGCATTATCTGTCTAGCCAATGTCTGTCTAGTCAATGTCTCTCTAACCAATGTCTGTCGAACAGAGGCGTAGCGAGGGGGTTGGGGTGCAGACCGGACCGGGTGACACCATTTACGGGGGTGACACCAAGGCAAAAAAATAGCAAAATATATTGGGGGGGGAGGGGTGGTGCAAATCGAAAGTTTGAGGGGGGGGGGGGGTGCAAATAGAAAATTGAATGTTTGTCCCCAGGAAGGGGGTGACACCCGACCTCGCTACGCCACTGCTGTCGAACCAATGTCTGTCTAACCAATGTCTGTCTAACCAATGTCTGTCTAGCCAATGTCTGCCTAACCAATGTTTGTCCAACCAATATCTGTCTAACCAATGTCTGTCCAACCAATGTCTGCCTAACCAATGTCTGTCTAACCAATGTCTGTCTAACCAATGTCTGTCTATCCATTGTCTAACCAATGTCTGTCTAACCAATGTCTGTCTAACCAATGTCTGTCTAACCAATGTCTGTCTAACCAATGTCTGTCTAACCAATGTCTGTCTATCCAATGTCTAACCAATGTCTGTCTAACCAATGTCTGTCTAACCAATGTCTGTCTAGCCAATGTCTGTCTAGCCAATGTCTGTCTAACCAATGTCTGTCTAACCAATGTCTGTCTAACCAATGTCTGTCTAACCAATGTCTGTCTAACTAATGTCTGTCTATCCAATGTCTAACCAATGTCTGTCTAACCAATGTCTGTCTAACCAATGTCTGTCTAGCCAATGTCTGTCTAACCAATGTCTATCTAACCAATGTCTGTCTAACCAATGTCTGTCTATCTAATGTCTGTCTAACCAATGTCTGTCTAACCAATGTCTGTCTAACCAATGTCTGTCTAACCAATGTCTGCCATTATATCCCAGACTCCCCGGGCAAGAGCTACTGTCGGAACCCGGGCGGCTCCCAGGAGAGGCCGTGGTGCTACACCAACACGACGACCTTGACCTACAGCTACTGTGACGTCCCGTATTGTCGTGAGTGCTTAAAAACTCCCGAAAGGTGGGGGCGGGGATATGCATGGTTGGGGGGGGGGGGGTGGAGAGGGGAGGATAGCTGACTACCCCACAAAGTAGCAGTCCATCAAATTTGTGAACATTATTTAATCTAAATCAATTTCTTGTTTACATTTCCAATGTTTACATTTCCAATGTTTACATTTCCAATGTTTACATTTCCAATGTTTACATTTCCAATGTTTACATTTCCAATGTTTACATTTCCAATGTTTACATTTCCAATGTTTACATTTCCAATGTTTACATTTCCAATGTTTACATTTCCAATGTTTCGACCGCCAGCCACCGTCAGCAACACGCAGACCTTGAAGCTGGACCTGAATCTGACCTCCGACCTTTTGACGCTGAGAGCCACGGTGGCAACCTTGAGGGAGTGCCTGGCCACCCAGTTCGCGGGCGGGGTCTACCACCCGCCCATCTACGACGCCATCTTGGGACAGCTGTGTAACGCCAACCTGGGGAAGGTCAAGGATGTGCTGTGTCACTACAAGAACGACAGCAGCGTCCTTGACCGTGGTGACAGCTCGCAGTGGATGAGGATAGAGGTCAAATGTCGTAAGTCTAACATGGACATTTTAGACAACCTATAGAAATGTCGTAAGTCTAACGTGGACATTTTAGACAACCTTTAGAAATGTCGTAAGTCTAACATGGACATCTTAGACAACCTTTAGAAATGTCGTAAGTCTAACATGGACATATTAGAAATTTTTTAGAAATGTCGTAAGTCTAACATGGACATTTTAGACAACCTTTAGAAATGTCGTAAGTCTAACATGGACATTTTAGACAACCTTTAATGTCGTAAGTCTAACATGGACATCTTAGACAACCTTTAGACATGTCGTAAGTCTAGCCCCGACATCTTAAACAAATTACTTAAAAGCCGCAAATCTAAGTTTTACACAACTCATAATAATATAAATGTCAGTAAGTTTTAAAAAAAAAACACGAGACCATCACGCACATTACTTTAAGACACACCCACCAGTGAATCTAGCACCGCCCAGCGCACTTAAAAACACGCCTTTCATCACATCTAGACACGCCCATTTTTCCTATGTAAACCCATGGACCTATTGGAAAACTTTTTTTTATCCACAGCTCCAGATCCGACGCCGACACCGGGAACATCCACCGTGCCAGCATCCACCGTCACATATCAGTCAACAACCACCTCGCAGTCGACCTCAAGCCTTCAGTCAACTCCAAGTCTTCAGTCAACAACAGCTCCTGTTTCAACCACTTCATCCTTTACCAGCAGTAAAAATAATTCTTTTTTAACTTTTGTTTATGCATAAAAAACGTTTTAATAACAAGCTTTTATGTAATAATGCACTAAAAATTAGAAAACAAATTATTTTCTTTAAATAGATTATAATACACCACTATTAAAATAACTATAAAGAAAAGCGTCGGTCTCTTCCTAAGTATAGAATCCTTTCATATGACGTCACGTCCGTTCGTGAATGTAAACATCCGCCATCGCGGTGTACAGATCTACATTCAAAATGGTGATCTGTGCGGTGAAAGGTTGTGATACTCGAAGTGGCAGTTTTATAGGAATTCCTTTAGTTCGACTGCCAAGGGTTATATTAAACCAAGATGATAGAGATCGACAGTTAACATAACGTAGAGGCAGTCAATTTTTAGCCAATATTTATCGCAGCGGTGTGAGTGAAGCAGCGGCAAATAATATGCGAATCTTTTCTCGACAATTTGTTTCAGGCAAGGACAGTAAAATAATAAACTTCACTTTAATTATAAAAGATAACTATGAATAAAACAAATATGCTCGACCTTCACAAATACTAATAGTAAAAGACAGATCTAAAAGTAATAATAAGAATAACAAGATTTAATAGTAATAATAGTGTTTTAATATCTAGATCTAGATCTAGAATCTAGCTCTAAACATGACGTTAACAAAATTCGGACCACAGATCTAGATTCTGGACTTAGGGTGACTGGCTCCGCTGGGTAGACATAGAATCTAGAATCTACTTATTTACTAAATTTAATTTAAAAATTTAGATCTACATTCGATTCAAAATACACCTATAATAAATCAAAAGTAGTCATAATAATAAAGCATTTAATTGTCCCTAAGATCTAAAATCTCGCTCTACAATCTAATCATTTTTTAGCAAACGAAATTTTCTGAAATTGAAATACATTGTATGACTAGATTTAGATCTAGAATCTGCTACTTATATTAAATTTTTAAAAGTTTATACAAGCATGTAGTTGATTTTATTGTAGTAGAAGGCTTTAATAAATTACTAAGGCCTACTTACTTTGTATCTTTTTACAGCAATGTGTATCTGATACTGGACTGAGTTTAATTAAATTCAAATGCATATCTAGTAATTAGTCTACTAAGTTTATGTAGCCTAGTAGTACAATCTAGAATGTAGATCATACCAGCCAACAACAAATAACCACATTATTATTATTTGGTTAATGATTAGGCTAATTTTTTTTTAGATCCACTGTTTATAAAAGAAACAAATCAAGCTAGAAACATAAGTGAGATGGTTTAGAATAATAACAATGGACCCAGTCTACAATTAATACAATTGCAGGTCTACATAGGGCCTACAGTCTAGTAGTTTACAGTAGGCACCTAGTGTGTAGCTACTATACTAGTGTGTAGCTGTCCAGAGTTAAGATTCTTGGATGTAAAAATGGATGGTACTAACTAATCTGCATTAATGCTTTCCCCTGATAAACCCTGAGTGCTATAAATGACATAACATGACATCGAGGTGAAAAATATTGAGGGGAGAGCAGTGGGACTTTCCCCTTTGTTCTCCCTGCTGGGCCTTGAGGGTCATAAATTATATAAGAGATACTATCTCTGTGGGGCTGGGTATCACGGAGGTGAGAAATTTTCAGGGAAGGGCAGTGGTACTGACTCCTCTTTGGTTTTATTGTGGGCTAGAAAAATGTGGGGGCTGGCCATCATGAGGGTTGAACATCAGTATTAATGTGTCTGATCACTTCCCTGCTGGATTATAAGGGTCTTAAATTGTATAACATGCTACCCAGATTGGCTGATATCTAAGAACAGCAGTGGTTATTACCCATGAATTATATTAGCCGTTGTAGTGTGGGTTTTGTAGGAGTTAAGGTGATCTCACGTTTGCTACAGTAGTGTGGTTGTACTAGATCTATTGCTACTAAATCTTGTACTTAACAGAGAATCTAAAATCTACATTAACCAGATCTAGAGATAACCTATAAAATATATTACTGCAAACGCAAACAGTATTACTAACAGAATTTTTATTTAGAAATTTCGGCCACATATTTATATTATCCACGAAACTGTCAGTAAACGGCATAAGGATCTTCAATTCCTAAGAGTTCAAGTTTTTTAACACATTTTTCCTTTTCCGCGGGTGCGGTTCTTTACATACAGTGAACGCGTCAAGCGCTGACGAACAGCTGATTGTGTTTACGTCCGGACGTATGTATCACGTGATTTAGGTCACGTGTTTGCAAGGACTCTTATTAGTAAAAGTATCCAATTCATATTATAGTGGCCCATGCTTTTGTTTATAGTTATTTAAATAATGGTGTATTATAATGTATTGTAAGAAAATAAAAATTTTCTCTTTTTTTTTTAAGTGCATTAATAGTAGTATATAGATTACATAAAAGCTTGTTATTAGAAGGTTTTTTGTTCAATTTTTTTCCAGTACTTTAAAATTTTGAATACAATAGAGTTGCATGACTTAAAACTATCGCGCACCTAATGAACATGATAACGCCCGTATTAAAATGCGGAATGGTTGGATGAGACGGCTTACTAATTTAAGGCAATTTTAATTACTTCATTAAAAAATAATTAGTCATTCAATTAAGTCAAATTTAATGTCGTATTACATTATAATCAGATCTTGACCCACGTGCCGAATGTTATAGAAAGTGATCAGTTAGAAGTGCCCGAAATTTTACTATTCCGTTTTGATCTATGATTAAGTGATTGAGACAGAGGAAGCAAGTTAAATAAAAGCTTGTAAAAATTGAACTAACCCACTATTGTAAACCCTCTGTGTTAGCCCCGAGTTTAAGGTAAACGGAAAAAAAGCACAGAAAAATGTCAGTTTTTGCTAGGAAAAAAAGTCACAAAAAAGTCAGTTTTTGCTAGGAAAAAAAGTCACAGAAAAAAGTCACAAAGGACAATTTTTTATCGGAAAAGAGTCACAGAAATAAAGTCAAAGAAAAAAGTCACAATAATCTTTTAAGAAATATTTTGATTTAATTGTTGATAATTGTAAAATTGTGGGTGTTAATTGGTGTGGGTTGGTTTTGTTTTGGAAGCATTTTATAAGCGTAAAAGCATTATGGTCTATAACAATAATACGTAAAATAATATGACGTAATTTACACAGCAACCTCAACTCTTGTTAGGTATTTAGTAAAATACGCGGTAGAAAAATTAATCACATAAGAAATTTTGGCACATCATTGTGTTTTGCATATTTTTTTTTGCCGTTGGCCATTCCTTGGTCGGTTTCTCTTTATTTTGTGTGTTGGCGTTTTGCGTCAAAGCCAGCCTTTGTACCGTGTCGCCTTTCTGTTTTGATTCTATGCTATTACGTAATGAGCGTGATGAATATGGTCAGAAAAGGTGGTTGCAGTTAGTTGAGGACAGCAAGTCAGATTAGCAATGTCTTTATGCCATTTCATGCTAATTTAAAAGACACGATAAAAACCGAAAAGGTTGGAACATTCTATTGATTTCTATTAAATAGTGTATGGATAGCGTAATTAAAGCCCAGAGGCGTAGCGAGGGGGGGGCGGGGGGACATATATCCCCGGCGCCGACCTTGGGGGGGGGGGGGGCGCCAAATTGAAAGTTTGAGGGGGGGGGGGGGTGTAAATAAAAAGTTCGAGGGGGGTGCAAATCGAAAGTTTGAGGGGGGGGGGGGGGGAGTGCAAATGAAAAGTTCGAGAGGGGGGGGTGCAAATGAAAAGTTCGAGGGGGGGTGCAAATCGAAAGTTCGGGTAGGGTCGCTTCGCCTCTGTTAAAGTCTACACACTTCATACTAAATGTTTTAACATTTGTTATAAATATTACTATACATATACAACCTACGCACACTAAATTACAGTGAATTAATCTTAGATGATTTTTACTCGCTGAATATGTAACACAAAAGTATTAACAAATTCCATACAAGTATATAATTGTGACTTTTTTTTGCTGTGACTTTTTTTCCTGTGACTTTTTTCCTATTTTTTTTTTCCTGTGACTCATTTCCTATTTTTTTTCCTGTGACTTTTTCCTGTGTTTTTATTCCTGGTTTTTTTCCTGTGTTTATCTACCTGTGACTTTTTTTTCCTACAATCGAGTTTAAGCCCTAACTCTAACCTCCCCAGCCAACAGTCTGTATCGGATGTGTCCAACGACGTGTTCAGTCAAGTGTTTCAACAGCACGGTCGACACGCTGGAGTTCAAGGTCAGCCTTTACACGTGTCACACATTAGATTAGGACTGGTCGGCTGGATAGGTGGGGTGAATTAGAGGGGAGGGGCGGTCACTTGTTTTATTGTTGAAGAAATGCTATAAATAACCCAATGGATAGTCTCAAGACATAATTATGAGGCCACACAAAGTAAGAAAAAACAAATGGAACAAAGTTTTTACTACCAATGGGATGTGAATTTTTTTTAAATTCAAAATCTAGAACTAGAACTTTTCATGTGAAAATATCAAGACCGGCAGATTAGACTTAGGAAAAGAGTTAAGTTGTTATGATTAATGTAAAGCATAAAGACTGTTTAGGTTGTATAGTTAGGTTTAGGATTAAACGAATTTAAATGTCTCGGTACATACTGAAATATGATTAGGGCTAACCTCCAATTACCTAAATTTCGAACATTGATAGTTTTCACTTTAAAAACCTACGTCTGCCACACAACATTCCTTCTACCTTTGTGTGCAACGTGTATTTCAGGTGTTCTAAAAGAATTATTCAAGGATATGTGGATTTTATAAAATAACTGCGTGGCAGGTTAAACACTACTGCTCTGCCGCGCAACCTGCGCAGCTTAGAGAGAACGTCATGCTAAAGCTAATCAAGTTTTCTGATGTCCGCAGGCCTACGTGGAGGAGGTACGTCAACAGCTGCTTGTAGAGACGGACACCCTCTCAAAGACCATCCGCAGCAAGACGTCAGCACCGGACCAGCGGCCCTCAGCCCAGGTGACCGGTGGGGTCGCTGTTGCTATTTTAGTCACCATCTTCGTCTGTCTAATTAGCGGGGACGCCGTCTCTGTGATTTATTACGTTTACAAGATTTTAAAAAGCAAAATTGTTTCGTTTAAAAACTCCTGAAGGTTTTTTTTAACCAACCTACAAGGTTAAGTTCTGTGAGAAATATATTTCAGTATTAGGGTGATCCGGGCGAACATAAAACACTGCAACGGAATTTTAAATTGTACAATAAAAATACTTCCTTAAATTCTAATAAATTTTCAATTTAAAAGGAGAAACTTAAGCAAAATAAAAAAATCACTTGAAATCTCATACATTTATTAGGTCGAATAGAGGGGAGAAAGGGGGAGTGGTTCTAAAAGTAGACTTATAGGCTGTGTCAGTGTCGGGTCGGACACTGGTAAAAGTAGGGTAATCCGAGGTAATTCCGTACACTACTTTTCTAAATAATTTGTAAAAAATCTAAAATTAACACTACCACAATATAATATTGAAGGTATAACTAGACCTATGTGTTTTATGTAAATTCTATTTCATTCGGCGGGGGGAGGGAGGGGGGGGGGGGGGGGGTGAGGGGCGGGGAAGTGGGGCTAGAGATGCCTGGAAGAAACTCTGGTCTGCAAGTTTCAAGTTTGATTGAGCATGAAAATACCTACACAAACACTTAAATGTAACATTAACGGGCAGTACTCGTGTAAAATTAACCTTTTAGCAGGCAGTAGCATGGTATTTAAAAATCGTATCTCTGCTGATGCAAGACGTCATGAAGTCGACTTACTTTTACTACATATTATAGTACTCCTCGTAATGACCAAAAAGTAGTAATAAATTATAAACCTTTTTTTATTTCAACATAAAAATAAATAAGTAATACCTTAAATAGCACTGCACTGTACGTTAAAGGGAAATATATATGTGGGCTACGTTAAATCCGTTTTTGGTTGAAATAAAAAATCAAGTCGTTGAAACAAAATTAACGATTATTTTTACTTGTTGAAAATATATATTTTTTATTAACACATTCTATAACTAAATTATATATATAGCAGCGTATTTTTCTTACGAAATATATCACTGATTTAAGTTAGTGCCGTAAGTTGGACCTATAAAATTTTAGTCAATTTAAAATGTAAATACCCCCAAGTGAAAATAAACTTAATAAAATATTAGAAATTTTAAAATGTCACTAAAAACTTTTGAAGATTTTGCGGTCAAAGGGATATAACCAAAATAAATAAACTATATTTAGGTTAGCACTAATTAATTCCCTTTTTGTTATACAAGTTATTAAAATTGAAATTAATGCTGAAATTCTATAATATTTGTGTAAATTATCATTTTTCATTTTGATTAATCTAGTTTCAAATTATTATTTAACCTCAGTGTCATAATAATCAAAATAAGTTGAAATACTACACCTTCAATGGTCGCATGCAGCTTTTGAAAAAAAATTTGTGGTCAACGGGACACAACCAAAATAAATACAATGTCTTTAGGCTCGTATCAATTACTTCCCTTAATTAGAACAACCATCGAAAATTGAAATTTTTGTAGTAACTTTACAATATATAAACATTTAACCACGTTTAAATTTCATAAATGTTGTTTTCATGTTAAAATTAACCGCATTGTTTCATGATAAAATCAAAATAAGTTGAAATATCAAATCTTTGGAAAATTTTGTGATCAAAGGGAAACAACCAAAATAAATACAATATTCTTATGTCAGTAGTGATTACTTCTCCTTACAATTAAAACACAAAATTAAGGATGATTATCTTTAAAATCTATAAATTTTAGTTATGAAGATTTAGATTTAAAATTAAGAAAATTAGTAAATTATCTGATCAGCGTAAGTTTACTTATATAACAACATCGAAAGTACTTCATCGAAGTGTCTGTCATTCTTGATACACAGTATTGTGTCTGAAATAGCCTCTGCTTACTTATTTTAAGCTAAAAATTTTGTTCAACTTGGTTAATAAAGAAACGTTTCTAGAGTTTTGACATATGGATAGTCTTTTTGACATATCAGTTTAAGATTTGAGTACTTTTAGTGTCTCGTCTTTCAATTGGATTGGTGCGTTTTTATATAAATAATTCTATAAATTTTAACAATCGTCAATTTTACTAACTCGGCCTACTTTTCTGAATTGTACATTTGAAATACTAAATGAAATGGTTAAGAATCTAAGGGCATTAACCAATAAAATTATTTTTATTTCATGTAATGTTTTGGTTAATTCCCTTTGACCGTCAAAATTCAACTTTTGTTATCTAATAGAAAATTTTTTATTTTAAAATATCCGAATGAGTTACGAAATCATTATTAATATTTTAAAGTAATTACGTTTACCTTATATCAAAATTATAGTTGAACTAATTATTTTTTAATCCAATTTATTAAATATAATAAAAATGTATTTAACGGATATCAAGAAAGATAACTAGTGAAGCTTTATTTCTATCGCGGTATTTATTGAGTAGTTTCCCTTTGACCATAAAATTTTCAAATATAATAGATCATTTTCAAAGTCGTTAGATCTTATAAATAATTTTTGCGATGCTTTTATTTTTAAAAATAATATTTATGTTGACTTTTGGGGTAGTAAGGGAACAAACTATTGAAATCCATATGACGACATGAAACTATGCAATTTATTTAAAGTGGATGAACCTATTTAAGTTAAAAAAATAATATAATTCTTTAACTATTCTTGTTTCCTCTAAGATACATTACAACTTCTAATCCACTTTTATTGCAATTACTTTCAATATTCTTTAAGCTGCTTTTTAAATGACTTAAATAAATCCTTATTTGAATATTTCCCTATAATTATTTTTATGTACGTGCCATCAATCCTAAGCTTAAAACATTTTTTGTAATAGTTTAAAATTAAGGCTTTGTGTTACGAGATCTATGTTAATATACAATCAAAACGAAACATTCTGTAACTAATTACTATGTATTTAAACTTGTTATATTCAAATGATCTAATGTAGTAAACTTGCATGGAGGAGAAAAAAAAAGTATTTTATTTAAGAACAACTAAGTGATGTTACTGCAGACTGTGAATAAAGCAATTCAAGTGTAGTGTAACTCGCCTGTTGAAAAGGGCTCAGCAAGATGGCTTGTTAAGAAATTATCAAACAATTTAGCTATATGGCCAGCTAGTCATGAGGATGTACTTTGATTCCACTTGAGGAGTTATGTTAATTATGTTGATTTAAAATTGATGAAAAATAAAGTCATTTGTACAAAACAAACATCCTTGATCATTTTATTTTGATACTGTAGTGTTTTTTTTAGCCTTTTTATAATGTTTTGGGGGACCTATTCTGTTTTGTCTTGGGGGAGGGTGTGGCCTTGGATGGTGGGGTGGGGGATGTTGTCTTGGGTGGGATTTGATCCTGTGGGTTCTGGGTTAAATCTCTGCAACCATGTCATCTTCACTGTTTGGGTCCCCAAACATTAGACTCTATTTTAACTATTTAAATTTTGTTAAAAATAATTTAAAAAAAAACTTTTTACACTATAATTTGACAATAACAGCTTTATCTCCCTTACATCACACTAGCTAGAACTTAAGAATTTACAGACAACTTAAAGCAAATAATACCAAGAGTACAGAGGATCAGAAACCACAGACAAAGACAGCAACAAAATACACTAGTTACAACATCAGAAACCACAGACAAAGACAGCAACAAAATACACTAGTTACAACACCAGAAACCACAGAGAACAGACAGCAACAAAATACACTAGTTACAACATCAGAAACCACAGACAAAGACAGCAACAAAATACACTAGTTACAACATCAGAAACCCCAGACAAAGATAGCAACAAAATACACTAGTTACAACATCAGAAACCACAGACAAAGACAGCAACAAAATACACTAGTTACAACACCAGAAACCACAGAGAACAGACAGCAACAAAATACACTAGTTACAACATCAGAAACCACAGACAAAGACAGCAACAAAATACACTAGTTACAACATCAGAAACCCCAGACAAAGATAGCAACAAAATACACTAGTTACAACACCAGAAACCACAGCCAAAGACAGCAACAAAATACACACACTAGTTACAACATCAGAAACCACAGACAAAGACAGCAACAAAATACACACACTAGTTACAACATCAGAAACCACAGACAAAGACAGCAACAAAATACACTAGTTACAACATCAGAAACCACAGACAAAGACAGCAACAAAATACACTAGTTACAACATCAGAAACCACAGACAAAGACAGCAACAAAATACACTAGTTACAACATCAGAAACCACAGACAAAGACAGCAACAAAATACACTAGTTACAACATCAGAAACCACAGACAGAGACAGCAACAAAATACACACACTAGTTACAACATCAGAAACCACAGACAGAGACAGCAACAAAATACACTTGTTACAACATCAGAAACCACAGACAAAGACAGCAACAAAATACACACACTAGTTACAACATCAGAAACCACAGACAAAGACAGCAACAAAATACACTAGTTACAACATCAGAAACCACAGACAAAGACAGAAACAAAATACACTAGTTACAACATCAGAAACCACAGACAAAGACAGCAACAAAATACACTAGTTACAACATCAGAAACCACAGCCAAAGACAGCAACAAAATACACACACTAGTTACAACATCAGAAACCACAGACAAAGACAGAAACAAAAAACACTAGTTACAACATCAGAAACCACAGACAAAGACAGCAACAAAATACACTAGTTACAACATCAGAAACCACAGAGAACAGACAAATAAAACAGCAGCCAAGTCACAGCACAAGTTTCAACATGTTTATTACACAATTAGCTAAATGAAAATGTGTTAGAATGGAGAAAAACAAACAAATTAAAAGTATTATCTATCAACACTAAGTAGGGTGTCAAATTAAAAAATGTCTGTTGCTTATATCACATAATGTAGCCCATGGGATTTGCAGGAACTTTGAACTTTTGCAGTGAAACTGTTCTAGATGATGTGAAGGATGAATTAATTTCTTGAGATGTAGCCAAAGTTTTCATTGATAAGATTTAGAGCCCCTTTCTTTAGACCTGCAAAAAAGAATTTGCTTGTGTCAATGTGCAGCAAGATAAAATGCTGAAATCTGAAAATATTATCAAACTATCAAAAAAATTTCAAAATATGTAATATTTAGTTTAATGGTCTGGAAAGGCAGATTTGTTTTTAACTTAATTTCTTTTATCCTGTAGTGTGGAAAATGATGCTTTGACAAATTTCAGATAGTTTGAAAAAAAAAACCACTATAAAGAAAAGTCATTAAAAAAAGTGGAATTTCAAAGAAGTGGAATTTTAAAGCAGTGTAATTTCAAAGAACTGGAATTGAAAAGATGTGGAGTTTCAAAGAAAGTGGAACAAAAGCATAGCTGCTACTTTAAAAGATTTAATATTGAGAAAAATGTACAGATACATGTTCTATATCATATTCCTATACAGATCTATAAAGCTAGTGCCCAGTCTACTCATAATTTTTTTTACACCTTGAATGTACACCCACCTCAAATGTACTTACACCTAAAATGTATGAACACCATAAATGTACGTACACCTCAAATGTGTATCACCTCAAACGCATACGTATTTCAAATATCAACTGACCTTGTTTAAGATCCAGGTACAGCTTTAGATAGTACATCTGTACTGGAAGAGGTGTGCCCACTTTTTCAGATGCCTGGGGAAAAAACAGAGTCATTAGAAATAAGGTCATACAATCTAGCAGTTTTAAAATAACGTTTACTATACAATTTGTTGAGGGACATTGAATATGAAACTATACCCAAATGAATGATATATAGAAGCATTCATGGTAAACAAAATATAAAGTGATTCCATCAAATTTTTATGCTTATAACTATAACATTTTACATAGAGAACCTGATAAAATAAATTACAACAAGATGTTTGTGAATGTCTTAGTTCGTAGAAACAATCAGGAATTTTACAGCAACAAAATTTACATACAAGTGATAAGGTAATAAATATTTACATAATGACAAATTAATTATTGACATGTAATTTACAGAGTCAGTTTGCCTTGTGTGTTGGCTTTAGTATTAGTTTTCATCCTCATCGGCTTGTGAGGACTGATACAGATTTACAATAGTAATACTTCATTCTCACATGTAACCTACTTTCATTTATTTAAGAAAGATCAATTACAAAATAAAACAACCGGATTAACCTGTTGGATCTATAAATGGAATAAATTACATAACAAAAATCCACTTTAGAAATCAAGAAATTAAGTTTTTAATTCCTCTATTAGTTTCCTATTTAGTTTAAGATTATTTTAAAAACTTTAATTTAAAAAATTATTTAAAAATACTCATAAAAGCTTCTTAAAACTCTTAAATCCATAAAATACTAGGCATGATATGCATTATTATTTTTTGTTAATATTGAATTTCTCTGTGTTGTGATAGTCACTGGGAATTTATTACCAGTTGTTTCCCTTGCATTTTTTTTCCATTTAATGGGAAGGAACTCAGACAAATTAATATTAAATGTTAATTGCAACCAATTTTTACTTTCTCATATATACGAAGTATAGAGAAAGTCTTGTAATAGTGCAAAGAAAAAAATCGAGATTTGACGTTTTACAGTTCCTTAAGTCAGAAAAACAGTTTTGCAATCTTGTCCGTATGTTTGTGTGTGTGGATGTGGGCTACAGGACATTACCCCCCCTGGATATTCCCCCCCCCCCCGTATTTACCCCCCTGTCAATTACCCCCCGGGGAATTACCCCCCCCCCCCCCCCCTCTCAAGTTAAAATCCTAACTCTAACTAGAATTTTATCCCTATATACTACTTTAATCCAAACCTTAAGAAAAAGACCAAAACCTAAGCATCCACCTTAGCCTAAAACTTCACACAAAACCAAAACCAAAGCTAGACACAACCCTAAAACTAGCTCTAACCCTAACCCTAACCCTAGCCCTATCCCTAACCCTAGCCCTAAAACCTAACCCTAACCCTGTCCGGGGGGGGGGGGGGGGGGGGGGGGGGGTAATGTCCTACTGGGTGGGGGGGTAATTGACAGGGGGGTAATTGACAGGGGGGTAATTACTCTGGGGGGGGGGGGTAATGTGGGGGGGGGAAATATCCGGGGGGTAATTGACAGGGGGGAAATGCCCTGTTCCCGTGGATGTGTGTGTGTGTGGATGTGTGTGTGCCTGTAAACACAATAACTATTACAGCTGGGCTGATGAAATTTCATATATAAGTATTACATCAAAATCGTAGATCCGCATCAACTTTTAAGTTATTTCCAATAACCTGAAGTGGAACTTTTTCTACTTTGAATTTTGCAAAAGCCTATAACTTGAGTACAATTTCAGATAGATACATGAAATTTCACATGTAAGTAAAAGATCTAACTCTTCTGTCAAATTTTGACCGGAAGTAGTAATTTTTGCTATTTCTGATTTCTCAAAAAACGCATATAAAGTACTGATAATATTACGCACTATTATGCACATTTTATTTGGCGTTCACTTGGTGTGCAATTCTTTTTTCTACGAGATTTTATTTTATTTTAAAAAGTGTAAGTATTTAAAATGGATTAAAAATCATTTCTATACCCAGAGTTGCCATCCCATATTGTTTCATATAAGTATAAGAATATTCGAGAAAGTTTAGAGGAGATCACTCCCAGTTTATTTTTACATTACAGCTATCAAACAATGAAAACATATATTCATTATTTATTATATGAATATTTATTTATGTCTGTTTATTTTATATCGTAAAAGAGAAGTTTCACTTTCAGATTGAAATGTTTTTCTAACTTAGAAAAGATAGCATGGTCAGCATTCAACCCAGCGTTCTTTACCAGTTCAGGTTCACATCACAGGTAAGTGGGACATCCTACTGACTCAAGCCCATTCAACAAACTTGTCACTTTCAGGTAAAAAATATTGCTTTTCACTACTGGGCCACACTGTCAGATTTTTTTGTTGAACATTTATGTTTAACTTTTCACACCTACCTTTTTTGAAAACAGCTGGTTTAACTTCTAATGTTTAGTTTCGACAATTATACAAATACAATTGCAAGTAGATATGTAATTTTAAAAAAAAATATTACCATGTATTAAGTTTTTTAAGTACTACATTTATCCTTAAGTAATATATTTATCCTTCTTAAGAACTATATTTATCCTTTTCACATGATCAATAGTATTAATTCTAAATGAATATTATTTGCCCTGAGTAACATCAATCTTAGCTCCTAGATTTGTAACCAACATTGGTATCATCAGCTTACGTGACTGATCGAGTAACTGTTGTCACTTGTTACGTATAATGTAATCTTTAAATCAATCAATCCTCAATTAAATTGAAAACCAAATTTTACTGGGTTATCACCAGAAATGCACCCAAGTAAAATGTGTGAATCAAATCTGAAGGGGAGTGGTTAAAAACTGATAACAACATTTGATCATAAGTATACTCAAACACCCACAGAGATGATGAAAGAGGTTTCCCTACCTCTGTCAATGCCTTGAGAGCCTTCTCGTAGTCTGTCCTCATGGCGTAGGCCACCCCCAGGTTGTACTGCATCAGTCCCTTGGCCACCACGGCATTGGGCGGACTCCACTTGAACATGGCCTCTGGAGATACAAGGCAAGCAATGAGTGGTTGACCTGCGAGTGTTTGCTCTTTCAACTTTATAAGAGAGAGTGTGTTTTAAAATTGTTCTGTAATGTGTTAAAACAAAAACAAGAGACTACCTCTGTTTTCTGCCAGACTCTCTTGGTCTTTTTCTGATTTAAAAAGTTAAAAAAAAATAAATAACAGTAAAATGTGTCCCTTTTGAAAAGATAAAATGTTTAGTCAGAACACAGGGAACAAAGATAAAAAAAATAAAATTAAGCCAAAAGAATAAATGCAGAATTTTGTTTTTAAATTTAACTTTTTATGGAGTTAGGAATTCATTTTGAAAAATTTGAAAACATTGTCATTACATTCAGATAAACTTTAAAACAAGGTAACTCTGCATGATAAACCACAAACTTTGTTACAATGTAAGCCTACATTGTCAACTAAATTTTAAACCAATGAAGGCCTACATAATCAACAAAATTTTAAAACAACACAGGCCTAAATTATATAATAAACTTTAAAACAATACAGGCCTAAATTATCAACTAAATTTTAAAACAACACAGGCCTAAATTATCAACAAAATTTTAAACCAACACAGGCCTAAATTATCAACAAAACTTTAAAACAATACAGGCCTACCCCTGTATGTGAGAAAATAAATCTCTGTACCTTGTTCTCCTGGAGTCTCTGGTAGAGTGGTGCTCACGTCTGTCACATTCTCAGGGTTTAACTCATCTATAGCGTTGGCTATTCGGTCAAGGATGACCAGGGCCTCACCTTTGTACATGTGACCTAGATACCTGTGATGATGCAAGTTTAGGCAAGATTTAGAAATAGGTGAAGGGTTTAAGTAGCTAGCCACTGTTCAAGCTCACCTTTGTACATGTGACCTAGGTACCTGTGATGATGCTAGTTTAGGCAAGATTTAGAAATAGGTGGAGGGTTTAAGTAGCTAGCCACTGTTCAAGCTCACCTTTGTACATGTGACCTAGATACCTGTGATGATGCAAGTTTAGGCAAGATTTAGAAATAGGTGAAGGGTTTAAGTAGCTAGCCACTGTTCAAGCTCACCTTTGTACATGTGACCTAGATACCTGTGATGATGCAAGTTTAGGCAAGATTTAGAAATAGGTGAAGGGTTTAAGTAGCTAGCCACTGTTCAAGTAGGTAGGAACCTGTGGCAATGCCTGACCAATGATAGAAGCCAGATGACCAGTCACGAGTAGTTGAGAAGAGATAGCATTAATAGTCAGGCAATCAGAAGATTGTGTAGTAGTTGGAAGATATAGTCAGAGAGTGAGATAGCAGTTGAAGTACAGAGTCAAAATATAGTTGAACAGGTTTTGGGCAAGTAGTGTGTACAACAGCAGATAATGGTAAAGTTAGGGTTGGGTGCTATTTGATGTCATTATATATAGTGAATACACTTTTAATATTGTGTGACTTGGAACCCAAGTCAGTTATATTTTTATACTGAGTTAAGCATATGGCTTTAAGGGGCAACAATCCCTTATACAAGTATAAGACACATTTAACCTCTCCCACCACTGTATCTATACAAACATTAGGGGCCTGTAAACTAAACTAAACTAGTCAGATTTGAAAAGCTCAATAAGCTATAGGCAGGTCTTAAAACAACCTCACTAAACTATAACAACTAATCTATAAATTATTTGATGTAAAAAGAACTTCAACTATGAGCAATGGGTTATGCAATATGTTGATTGAAAATTGATGAAAAATAAAAATCTACATCCATAAGTTTTTGCCAACTGGCACCACCAATCTGGTTGACCAGCTCACATGGTCAAAGCTATTATTCACCTGCTAATTCATTTGACTACCTATGAACTGCTAATACATTTGGCTACCTATGAGCTGCTAATACATTTGGGCTACCTTTAAGCTGCTGATAAGTTTGGCTACCTTTGAGCTGCTAATACATTTGGCTACCTATGAGCTGCTAATACATTTGGCTACCTTTGAGCTTCTAATACATTTGGCAACCTTTGAACCTGCTAATACATTTGGCTACCTTTGAACTGCTGTTAAGTTTGGCTACCTTTGAACTGCTAATACATTTGGCTTCCTTTGAACTACTAATACATTAGGCTACCTTTGAGCTGCTGATAAGTTTGGCTACCTTTGAGCTGCTAATACATTTGGCTACCTTTGAGTTGCTGATAAGTTTGGCTACCTTTGAGCTGCTAATACATTTGGCTACCTTTGGGCTTCTAATACATTAGGCTACCTTTGAGCTGCTAATAAGTTTGGCTACCTTTGAGCTGCTAATACATTTGGCTACCTTTGAGTTGCTGATAAGTTTGGCTACCTTTGAGCTGCTAATACATTTGGCTACCTTTGAACTACTAATTCATTTGGCTACCTTTGAACTACTAATTCATTTGGCTACCTTTGAACTACTAATTCATTTGGCTACCTTTGAACTACTAATTCATTTGGCTACCTTTGAGCTGCTAATAAGTTTGGCTACCTTTGAGCATCTAAATACATTTGGCTACCTTTGAGCATTTAAATACATTTGGCTACCTTTGAGCTGCTGTTAAGTTTGGCTACCTTTGAGCTGCTAATAAGTTTGACTACCTTTGAGCTGCTGTTAAGTTTGGCTGCCGTAGAAGATTCACTGAGTGAGCCAGAGCTTTGTAATATTCATTTTCACACAGGGCCACATAAGCGCTGGCTGCCAGTATAGAACATCTGAGGGAAACATTTGTAAACAAACATATTATTACATTAACTATACAGTAACCCTAACAGGTAGTGTTCGTAATTTTTTTAAAAACATGTACAAACAAAAGCCAGTCTGTTGAGACTGGTGGCAACCAGCTGGTACAGACCTGAGGTTGGCGACTTCTGTTTCTCTCAACGGGTTGCCTGGTTCTGCTGATACTAGTACTGGGTCTGTAGGTGGGGGCCTGGAATAGTCACATCAAATAATGTTACAGTGTTGTAAGACATAATACTGGGTTGTAGGTGTGGGCCTAGAATAGTCAATTGAAACCATATTACTGCATTTTTAAACATGGTACTTGGTCTAGAGGTGGGGGCCTGGAATAGTCCAATCAAAAAATGTAGTTACAGTGCTGTAAGATATAGTACTGGCTATAAAGAAAGAAACTTACAGTGTGGTGCAAACACAAAGATAGAAAATAATAGCACCACTTTTTTACATGGAAGTTGTATTTGTCTAGTTAATATTGCACCAGCTGAACATACCACTGACCTAACACAACCATTTGAAACACAACACCATGTGAACAAAACACAACACCATATGAACAAAACACACCATTGGCTGAACACAACACCAATTGAACACATCAACTGAACACAGCATGACACAGAACAGCTAGTACTCACCCAGATTCTGCCTGCTCATCTTGTGGGGGTGGCTTCACATCCAGGGGGTCAGGTGGTAAAAGTGCCAGAGCATTCTTCAGACAAAAGGCAGCGAAGCCTAAATTTAAGTTTGGGAACACCCCACCTGATGTGCTTCTGTGGGAAACAAAACAGAGTGTCATCAAATGTTTAAACAGAAACTTTTCATATAAGTCAAGACTTATTTAAACTACTGATTGAGATCACCAAATGACAAATGACACGTACAGCTAGTCAATTTATTTGATAACTTTTACCTTAAAGTCACATGACTTACATTTTCCTGTCTTTCTGCACACCTTGACCTAGTATAAGCTTGTGATGAAAGCCTGATCCCACTGAAGCCTGGATCACCTCTAGTTTGTGCTTGTGTTCTCTGTCTACATCATTGTTCTGTCACAAAAACATTAACACCATCATCTACATTAACACTTTGATAACCAACACTGGATATCATTTACATGAACACTTTGATAACCAACACTGGATATCATCTACATTAACCCTTTGATAACCAACACTGGATATCATTTACATGAATACTTTGATAACCAACACTGGATATCATCTACATTAATACTTTGATAACCAACACTGAATATCATCTACATTAACCCTTTGATAACCAACACTGGATATTGTCTACATATAGCCCTCTGCTATCTGTTATATTATCTCTTTTCTAACAAGCATTTTATAACTATTTTTACACTTTCATAACTAACACTTGATATCAGCGACGTTGACCTCTAATTTAAGCTGCATTAACCCTTTAATAAAAGCAATATTAACCTTTTAATATCAGCTAAACTAGGTCTTTTAAAACAAACACTTGGTAAAGACTATTTCAACCTTTTGATAACCATAAACTGGATAACTAACAACATTACCATTTAATAAAATCAAGTTAGTTTACGCAATAAAAATATTCAAAAATTATATTTAAAATATTTAACAACAAAAATTTTCTTTTTTTCTCACTAAACCAACAATCAGAAACCGACTAAAAAATTGTAACACAATAAAACCTGTGCGCAGGTGGGGTACAAACCTCACGATGGTGCATGATACAACATTCTGCCAACCTAAGCCACAGTCTGGGGTTCCGGTGATAGACCTGCACACAATCAACAAAACACTCAAAGGCCAGGCTGGGTCTCTTGCTGTGAAGCTGTAGCACCCCCAGGTTGTAGAAGAGGACATAGTGTTGGCTGACGTAGCTCAGCTGTAGGGGCGGTCTGGCTGTAGAAACAAGGGGCAGGGGCTAGTGAACAGTGTAGGAATATTAAGTGGGTCAAATGAACAGTGTAGGAATATAAGTGGGTCTAATTAGCAGTGAAGCAATATTAAATGGATCAAATGAACAGTGTAGGAATCTTAAGTAGGACTAATGAGCAGTGTAGGAATATTAAGTGGGTCTAATGAACAGTGTAGGAATATTAATTGGGTCTAGTGAACAGTGTAGGAATAATCAATATTAAGTGGGTCTAATGAACAGTGTAGGAATATTAAGTGTGTCTAATGAACAATATAGGAATATTAAGTGTGTCTAATGAACAGTTTAGGAATCTTAAGTGGGTCTAATGAACAATGTAGGAATCTTAAGTGGGTCTAATGAACAATGTAGGAATATTAAGTGGGTCTAATAAACAGTGTAGGAATATTAAGTGGGTCTAATGAACAGTTTAGGAATATTAAGTTGGTCTAATGAACAGTGTAGGAATATTAAGTGGGTCTAATGAACAGTTTAGGAATATTAATTGGGTCTAATGAACAGTTTAGGAATATTAAGTGGGTGTAATGAATAGTGTAGGAATATTAAGTGGGTCTAATGAACAGTGTAGGAATATTAAATGGGGTATGAACAGTGTAGAAATATGAAGTGGGGTATGAACAGTGTAGGAATCCTAAGTGCATTTGATGAACTGTGTAGGAATCTTAAGTGGGTCTAATTAGCAGTGTAGGAATATTAAGTGGGTCTAATGAACAGTGTAGGAATATTAAGTGGGTCTAATGAACAGTGTAAGAATATTAAGTGGGTCTAATGAACAATGTAGGAATATTAAGTGGGTCTAAACAGTGTAGGAATATTAAGTGGATCTTATGAACAGTTTAGGAATATTAAGTGGATCTTATGAACAGTGTAGGAATATTAAGTGGGTCTTATGAACAGTGTAGGAATATTAAGTGGGTCTAATGAACAGTGTAGGAATATTAAGTGGGTCTAATGAACAGTTTAGGAATATTAAGTGGGTCTAATGAACAGTGTAGGAATATTAAGTGGGTCTAATGAACAGTTTAGGAATATTAAGTGCGTCTAATGAACAATGTAGGAATATTAAGTGGGTCTAATGAACAGTTTAGGAATATTAAGTGGGGTATGAACAGTGTAAGAATATTAAGTGGGTCTAATGAACAGTGTAGGAATATTAAATGGGGTATGAATGGTATAGGAATATGAAGTGGGGTATGAACAGTGTAGGAATCCTAAGTGCATTTGATGAACTTTGTAGGAATCTTAAGTGGGTCTAATGAACAGTTTAGGAATAATTAAGTGGGTCTAATGAACAGTTTAGGAATATTAAGTGGGTCTAATGAACAGTTTAGGAATATTAAGTGGGGTATGAACAGTGTAGAAATATTAAGTGGGTCTAATGAACAGTGTAGGAATATTAAATGGGGTATGAACGGTATAGGAATATGAAGTGGGGTATGAACAGTGTAGGAATCCTAAGTACATTTGATGAACTTTGTAGGAATCTTAAGTGGGTCTAATTAGCAGTGTAGGAATATTAAGTGGGTCTAATGAACAGTGTAGGAATATTAAGTGGGTCTAATGAACAGTGTAAGAATATTAAGTGGGTCTAATGAACAATGTAGGAATATTAAGTGGGTCTAATGAACAGTGTAGGAATATTAAGTGGGTCGAATGAACAGTTTAGGAATATTAAGTGGGTCTAATGAACAATGTAGGAATATTAAGTGGGTCTAATGAACAGTGTAGGAATATTAAGTGGGTCTAATGAACAGTTTAGGAATATTAAGTGGGTCTAATGAACAGTGTAGGAATATTAAGTGGGTCTAATGAACAGTTTAGGAATATTAAGTGGGGTATGAACAGTGTAGGAATAATAAGTGGGTCTAATGAACAGTGTAGGAATATTAAGTGGGGTATGAACAGTGTAGGAATATGAAGTGGGGTATGAACAGTATAGGAATCCTAAGTGGATCTGATGAACCGTCTGAGAATTTTAAGTGGGACAAATGAGCATTGTAGTAATATTATGTGGAGTATGAACAGTGTAAGATTATTAAGTGTGAGTAATGAACGGGGTAGAAATATTTGAGCAGGGGTAATAAGCAGTATATAGATTTTAGGTGGGATTTATGAAAAGTGTATGAGTTTTAAAAGTGGAATTAATGAGAAATTAATGTAAGAATATTCAACAGGACAAGAGCGATGAGGAATTATTAAGTGTGACTATTGAATAGTGCAGGAATACCAAATAGTGCTAACTACTATGTTGTCACAATTATATGTGTCTGAACATTCCCAATGAGCTAAACAATATTGTATGAGCACTCAAGTAAAGCTACACAGTGGTGACTAAAAGATGTTATAAAATTATAGAAAAATGATTAGAATATTAGCCAACAGCTAGGTTAACTTACTGTGTCAAGTAAAATTAAACATATTAACAAACATCAACATACATTCTATGCTGATAATAAAGAGAATTTTTAAAATTTAAGTAACTAAAAATAAACACAAGTAGCAAATAATAAAAATGTATAAAAAGTATCTTGTAAATTTTTTTTAATGCTAACCTTTATCATTTGGCACAGCATCTTTCATGACTTTTTCATTATGCTTGAGAGCATCGCGGATGTGGCAGATGGCGATGTTTGGCTTCCTCAGACACATGTTGATGAGGGCCAAATTGTTGGAGTACATCACAGCTAGACACTCTCCAGTTGATGGAGATATCTGTCAAGTAGTCAAGTACTTTGATACATTAGAATGTCTTAGCTCTCCAGTTGATGGAGATATCTGTCAAGTAGTCAAGTACTTTGATACATTAGAATGTCTTAGCTCTCCAGTTGATGGAGATATCTGTCAAGTAGTCAAGTACTTTGATACATTAGAATGTCTTAGCTCTCCAGTTGATGGAGATATCTGTCAAGTAGTCAAGTACTTTGATACATTAGAATGTCTTAGCTCTCCAGTTGATGGAGATATCTGTCAAGTAGTCAAGTACTTTCATACATTAGAATATCTTAGCTCGGAGATATCTGTCAAGTACTTTCATACATTAGAATGTCTTAGCTCTCCAGTTGATGGAGATATCTGTCAAGTACTTTCATACATTAGAATGTCTTAGCTCTCCAGTTGATGGAGATATCTGTCAAGTACTTTGATACATTAGAATGTCTTAGCTCTCCAGTTGATGGAGATATCTGTCAAGTAGTCAAGTACTTTGATACATTAGAATGTCTTAGAAATTACTTTACTCATTAATATCTGCTGCAAGTCTATGTTTTTTTTTGTGTGGGAGACTGATGTACAAGCAACTTAAAAACAATTATATTTAGAATAAAGCCTTAAAATGTAACCAGATATAATAAGTTCAGATTCTAATGAAATGAAAACAAACAACTTATAGTATTTTAAAAGAATCATAAATTATTATATATTTTAAACCCACATTTTTACAAATAAACTACTTACATCAACTCTAGGCGGATTCCCCAACATTTTTGCTGCCTTTTTATAACTGCCTCGCAAATAATCATAATAAGCTTTTGCATAGTTCACTGGTACACTCTACAAAAAAAACAAAAAACGGAAGTTGGTTATCAATTGCATATGATTCTCATTTTAAAAATGTAACTCTTAATTTTCTACTTGAGAGGTTTATGTTTCACACCACCACTGGTGTGTTAACTGAGTTATACAGTTCTTTTGTTCACTTCCAACACTGGCTGAATTAGCCTCATTTTTTAAATTCATTTTTAACGTGGCTAATTAATTTTAATTTATAATTGAAGGTTAAATTTAATTCATAATGCAACATGTTATTTGAAGATAAAAATTAATCTATAAAAATGCAAGTGTTCATTTTAAGTTTTAGCTATTTTACATGTTTTTACTATGAGCTTACATTTCCTTGCAGTGCCTTATAATCTTTTTTGTTCTTCATGTGCTTTGCCATCAGATTGCAGCGCACCTTGTACTGGAGATAAAAATGTACAAAATAGAAATTATTTTTATGTTTTTAGTTTACATTCTACAAATAGTAAACACATATATGATTTAACATTAATTTACATGAGTTTTGAGTGTTTATATCATTATTACATTATGAGTAGAATGTGAAAGTCTCTATAATTGTCCTGTATTTAGAAATGTATTACATTCAACTTTTCAATAAATCTTAATATAATCCAACAGCTTCTCGTAAAACAAAATTCATGTGAGAATACTAACAAGGATAAGCTTGGCTTTCATTGCTTCCTGTGCTGCTGCATTGTTAGAATCATTCTTGTCCTTGTCCTGAGATGACTGACTTTTCCCACTAAGGAATTTTTCTATATTCAGCACCATACGCATTGCATCATAGGGCTTGTTGAAAAAAAAATTAAATAATTATACATGTCTACCAAACATTCATTATGAAGTATTAATGCATGTTTACAAAATATTCATAATACAATATAAATGTGTGTCTATAAAACATAAACTTAAAAGTGCTCAATGCAGAATTGACATTATCGAATCAATGCAACTTTAAAATATACTGAAAACAAAGAAGCTGGATATGAAATAAAGGTTTTCTCAACTTAAGCTCCATTTCTTAAACAACATGTGTAAAATAAATAAAAGACTAGCTCAACAAAAATAGTTGTACCTGATGCACAGTCAGGTATAACTCAGTCAACAACAACATAACCTTCTGTGCAAGTGCCTCGTCTGTTAAATTAGAAGCAGATTTTAAAGAATAAAAAACCTATGAAGTAATCGCTAAACTAAAAAACCAGATTATCACTAACAAAATATTTTCTCCTTACTTAAAAACAAATAAAAAAGTAGCCAATCCTTGTTAATAAAAATGAAATTACCAATTGGCTCAATGTATTTGAAGAGCTTTTCTAGAATGGACAATGCTGCTCTGTGTTGCTTCTCATGGTAGAGAACAACTGCCTTGTTGTAATAAACCACTGCATAGTCTGCGTCATCAAGGTTGCTTTTCTCACTGAGATCTGGAGAAATTCTGGCCTACCAAACAAAGAAAATAAGTTTATTTTTTTTCTAAACAAAATAGAGTGATAAACTATTAATTATTCACATTAAGAAAGTTTTATTTTAGAATTGTTGGTTCATTGGGCAGAATAAGTGGTGTACACATGTTGTTTTTTTTTAACCTCAGCATAAAATATAAGTGTGTTGTAAGGACTTTACTTTTTTTTAACCCAATTAAGCTACCCACCATAGTTGGGCAAACTCAGGAGACCAAATCCAAAGACTTTTGCGATCTACCACTTAACCATACCATTCAATCTATTTTATTTCATCTCTCATTTATTAGATTTCACTTAAGCTGACTGAATCAGAACTAGTAGCTTGAGTCTAACTCTAACAAGTTTGGCTCCAAGGGTAGACACAGGTACAGAATATCATATAGTCCTAAGAGGACTGTACCTGTGCCTATCTCTGGCATTGAAATAACATTCTCTGACAATATTACTATTTCAGTAATGATGCCTTCTTCCAAATTTAATTACATACTTGAATGAGTTTTTAGCTTGAATTTACCATGTTAAACACAGTTTGTGATGACTGTGTCAGATAAACTAGCATGAGCCCAACATGCTTGGCTGGCTATTAGCTTGAACTTACCATGTTAAACACAGTTTGTGAAGACTGTGTCAGATAAACTAGCATGAGCCCAACAAGCTTGGCTGGCTATCAGCTTGAACTTACCATGTTAAACACAGTTTGTGAAGACTGTGTCAGATAAACTAGCATGAGCCCAACATGCTTGGCTGGCTATTAGCTTGAACTTACCATGTTAAACACAGTTTGTGAAGACTGTGTCAGATAAACTAGCATGAGCCCAACAAGCTTGGCTGGCTATCAGCTTGAACTTACCATGTTAAACACAGTTTGTGAAGACTGTGTCAGATAAACTAGCATGAGCCCAACAAGCTTGGCTGGCTATCAGCTTGAACTTACCATGTTAAACACAGTTTGTGAAGACTGTGTCAGATAAACTAGTATGAGCCCAACAAGCTTGGCTGGCTATTAGCTTGAACTTACCATGTTAAACACAGTTTGAATGTTGTGCCTGAACTCATCAACGGCTTTACACTGGCTTTGATAAAATAGCGCAACAGAGCGATTCAAAACAACCTTCACATCTGTAGGTCTGGCGTCTGCCAAAGAGCCCATTGTTTTCGTGCAATTAGAGTAGTGCCCCCTTTCAAATTCACCCATGGCCTGTGCAGCCAGTTCTCGCTGCTGTTCTGTAACAGGAATCTGTGGCGGTGCATCATCAGATGCTCGATCAGCGTCAACAGATGACATTTTTAAGAGTACCAAATTAAAAACTGTTTACTCTAATGCTCTGAAAAACAAATTTTAAATACAAGGATTTAAAAAAAAAGTTGTTTTATTTTCAGCTAATATTCTGATATTAACATTGCAATAAATTATTATATTATGCTTTCAAATTTAGTAGGCATAATAAATGCAATCTATATATATAATTCTCTTCATGGAGACCATAGAAAACACCAAGCTGTAAGCGCGCCTAGCAGCCCCCTCTCTTCCTCTATAGGCATATCCCTACCACACCCACCCTCACATGGTCTGGTGAGCTGTGGTTCACGCTAAATGTTTATAATCATAGAGCCGGGTTTAGTGACGGCTATTAGGGGCAGATAATATAATTTGAAACGATTATAAACTTAGGGGAGGTGACTAAGAGGAGGCTGCAATAATTGATTACGTCACTTATGTAAAATTATAGGCCTAAACAATAATTTAAAAATAAACCGGGAGTGATCTCCCCTAAACTTTCTCGAATATTCTTATATAAAATAACAGGGGATGGGAACTCGGGCTATAGACATGATTTTTAATCCATTTTAAATAAAGTTTTAAAAATAGAATAAAATCTCGTAGACAAATTAATTGCACACCAAGTGAACGCCAAATAAAAAAGTGCATAATAGTGCGCAATATTATTAGTACTTTAAAAATTTACATTAGTTTTTTGAGAAATCAGAAGTAGCGTAAATTACTACTTCCGGTGAACGGAAATTACTCAAAATTTAACAGAAGGTAGATAATTAGATCTTTTACTTACATGTGAAATTTCATTTATCTATCTGAAATAGTACTCAAGTTATAGGCTTTTGAAAAATTCAAAGTAGGAAAAGTACCACTTCCGGTTATCGGAAATGGCTCAAAAGTTGATACGGATCTACGATTTTGATAAAATACTTATATATGAAATTTCATCAACCTAGCTGTAACGGTACTCAAGTAATCGTGTTTACACACGGACACACACACACACACACACACAGACAGACAAACAGACACACAGACAAGATTGTAAAATTATGTTTTTCCGTATCAGTGAGGTGTAAAACGTCGAGATTTGTAAAAATCTCGATTTTTTTTTTTTGCACGATTACAAGACTTTCTCTATACTTCGTATATACGAGAAAGTAATTCAGCAAAACCCCTAGTTTCTTAGAAATGTTTAGAGTTAAGAGTAGTTAAGATTTATAATTCTAGAGGTAATCTTTTGTTTTAGTATTAGGTATGTAAAAGTGTCCGAGGCTAGTAATGTGAAAGAAAGGTAACTCATTAAACATGTTAAGGAGGATTTATGTTTCAAAAGTTACAAAAGTTTCAAAGTTTCATTCATGTAAATTAATGTTTTTAATTTTAAACAATTTTATTAAAATTTTTAATAATAGCCTAGCCTAAGTAAAAAATTAGCAATGTTTTCATCAGATGCAATCAAGCTCATTTACTTTAGCAGCCATCTTGTTTAAGTTATTTTTTGGTCAAATTAGAGATTCAGGGGAAACAATTCTAATTTACAGATGGCAGCTGTTTGTACAAGAAATCTTGCTCTCAAACACTTCTAAGTTAATTTCTGGCAAAACTTGCCTATATTGAAATTGGTATATTATTCTATTATAGGGCCTATTTGACACAATATATCACAATATACAGGGTTCATGCTCAAAAGTTCAAATAAAATTCCAGGAGTTTTCCAGGACTTTTCCAGGAGTTTAAAAAAAAAATTCAAGGAGATTTTAGAAACAAAAAAGAAACCCAATTTGTACATTTAAAAAAAAAAGCGTACTTAATAATACATTTAATTAGCTAAGCCAATGCAAAAATTTAATTTCAGTAAAAGTAAAACAATATACTAGTTACATATTACGATAGAGGCTATCAATCTGAAAGATCACATAATTGTGAGTCACCTTTTTTCACATTACTATCCTTGGCCTATTTTTCATACCTAAAATGATAGCAAGATTACCTTCTAGATCTAGACTAGATAGTAGTATTACTCGCTAACTTGGAGGCGTGGTCGGTTGCTAACAACAATATGGCGCCCGGACCGGACGCATTACTTCCGACGATTTTTCGGCCAAATTCCAGTGACCTTCTACAAATTACTATCAAAAATGTTTACCACGAGCAAAATGGTTTTAACGCTATAACAACAAACTATAGGTGGCAAGGCTATATATGCCATAAAAGCATTTCAAAATTTGCGTTGGAAAATGAAGGCTAAATTTAAAAGTTGGTTTCATTAAAAATACTAGAACTTTTTTAATATCCACCTGAAGAGTACAAAAATGAAATGAAGTCTGTAGAACTATTAGGTTTCCTCAGTCTATGTAAAAAGAAATCAAATAATAATCATTAAAAAAGTTTAAAAAAACCCATGTTTTCTGATTGAACTAAAAAGTAGAAAATAAATACTATACATCACAATAATGCAAGCGATCACTCTACTATAAGCGATGAAAAACGTGGGGCGCCGAAGTAAAAGTTATATTACTATTGATTAGATAATACTATTGACTTTTATTAGGGAGCTTGTAGAGAGTCAACAGTATTAGAAACTGTAAGAAAATCACGGCGCCCCACGTTTTTCATCGCTTATAGTAGAGTGATCGCTTGCATTATTGTGATGTATAGTATTTATTTTCTACTTGTTAGTTCAATCAGAAAACGTGGGTTTTTTTAAACTTTTTTAATGATTATTATTTTCTAGTTTTTAGTCTTTGTCTGTTTGTTTGCATTAAAATCTTGCTATCGATTTTATCTTTTCACTTTTTTTTTTTGGGTAAACGAAGACAACTCGTAAAAAGACAACTCGTAAAAATACAACTCGTAAAAAACGCGTTGTGTGAATACGTTACTGATTAGAACACATTTGAACCCGTGTCGAGTGGGATAGCAATCGTGTGCCCAACCACTCGACCATATCGTCTCCCCCATACTGGCCACCAGTTGTTACGGTTGTTTGTACACAAATTACAGTTACTGGGTTATGTCCCTTTTTCCCCACGTTTTTACTACAACGAGCCGACCCGCGGCGTATCATACGCCGCTATTTAGTTGATTTATTTTCTACTTTTCAGTAATTCATAATTTGTGAACAGTACCAATGCTGCCACTGAAAATATTTGCTTTAAAACACTAACCCCCCTCCTTTCCCCTAACCCCCCCCCCCACGTGAAAGCAGCCTCCTCTTAGTTACCTCCTGTAAGTTTAAAGTCGGTTTTAAACTAAATTATCTGCCCCTAATAGCCGTCACTAAACCTGGCTGTACGGTTTGTAAACATTAACGTGACCACAGCTCAGCAGACAATGTGGGCGTGGGGTGGGGTGGTAGAGAGAAAGAGAGGGGACTGTAAGGAGGCGCTTGCAGCTTGTTTTCTAATGGCTCGCAGAGGAGAATTATATATATAGATTATATAGCGGTCTAAAATGCTCAATAAAATGTTTCCATTGATCAATTTAGTAATAATAACAATTGAATATTCTATGGTCATCCAAAAGAAAGCTTCCCTGAAAATTTCAGCGCGCTAGCTAACTGGGAAGTGCCAGAAATTTCGATCGCAAGATTTGATTGGAAAGACAGAGAAAGCAAGTTAAAGAAAACGTGGGAATATTACTAACTACTTTTTTTATAAACGATGGCTTTTGAATGACAACCAAATTAATTTTATTTTTTAAACCACGTGACCACTATTTGGTGATCACTCGTGAGGAACTCTGGGTGCATGGCCACTTAAAAAGTCTAACCGGATTTGTGGTTTTCTTTAGCTTCAAACATAAGAAGAGTTGTCATTGAGAGGTGTGTTGCGCATGGCAGTGAGTGACAATAAATATTAAATTAAGTAATTTTGTTTAAAACGAACTAAAAACTTCAAAATTAGTGCCTAATAGATTAAATACGGATGTCTATCATTCAGTGGGCATGTTTAAATTCAAAAGTGGGTAAATTTTAGATTTAGTGAGAAAATCTACACAATATACTAGATAGACTAGAGCTTTTTTGAAAGCAGGAAATTCCACACATCCTCCAGACTTAGGCCTATTAGTATTTTTAAATCGAAGTGACTACTCGGAAGAAGATTTTTCTCCCCAACGTCTCCACTTAGTCGGCAAAAGATAGCTCTGCCCATGCGCAGTGACCTATGACTTGGGTTAGGGTAGGATTAGGGTTAGGGATAGGATTAGGGCTAGGGTTAGGGTTAGGGATAGGATTAGGGATAGGTATAGGATTAGGGTTAATGTTAGGGTTCTGCGGTTGTAAACACACGCATGCGCAGTACCATCGAAAACATCGCCACGAAGGCAAGTCGTAGTTTCTCTACATTGCGCATGCATATCGAATGCGTATCTTATTCCGGCTAGCATCGGCCTTTAAATATGCTTATTTTATTGTAAGCCTACCTGCCAACTACTTTTAAAACAAAGTGAACACGAGTGTCTACTCGAAAGAACCTTGTGCACCCCTCCCCCCCCCCCCCTAAAGCACTAGTCTGGACATGAAGAAGATGCAATGCAAAACACAATGACCTTAATAGGCCTTTTTATTTACTTTTAGCAGAATAGTGAGAATAGCAGAGACTGGCAGAGAGAAGTTTTTGTTTGTTTTTTTGTTGTTTTTTTTTTTGGCAATTTCAAGACAATAAGTTGCCTACCAATTCTTAAAACTCAAAGCTTGCAAAATAAAGCTTTGATGTAATAACGTAAAAACAAATCTTCTAATGTGCAGGAATGGAAATCTTTGTAATAAATAATGAAAAGTTCTTATAATTTTGAATGAACAAGTTTTTAATCCTTTAGTCAAATTACTTAACTAGGAAGCAGACATGACACCGGAAATCCCAAGTTTCCTGGAAAGTATTCGCTTTTTCAGACAAGTGTTTTTATTATTTTTATTTAAATTTCAAAATACCCTCTAGAATACTAGACTCTAGATCTAATATTTAAAAACTTGCTAGATTCCATCTAGAATAATACTATTTTAGCTTTTTGGGTGAGATTTTAAAAATTCAATTTGCAATTTTGAGTGAGGTTGTATGCTGAGGTGTGACATCATTTTAGGGGGGGGGGTCTGGCTTTTTGTGACAATGTGTGACGGAGGGGGGGGGGGGGGAAGCTAAAAATCGTCGGAAAATGTGTGACGTCATTTATGGATAATCCCATGAAGAAATTTCTAAGATCCTAGAGTTCACTAGAGTAACAAGCTGGTAGAGATCTAAATCTAGATCTCGATCAAGACTAGCTGTCTTTTAGTTAGTATTTTGTCGCTGACAGTTTTAGTTCGATTTTAAAAAAAAAAGTAATTTAGTTTTCTATGACGGATTACTTTTATTGTCCGATTTTATTAGCGGTTAGTTAGTATTTCTCACTGATCGTTTCGCGTCCCTAAATTAAACCTAAACAAGTATTTTGCATGATTTATGTAAATGGCTTCCACAATAGGGGCCTATCACTCATCACTCCCACCTAGACTAGATCTAGATCTAGTTTGTCTGCGGTTGCGACGGAAGTTAGTGTGTTTCAAAATGGCTGCTAAAAGCGACCAGAAAATAGCAGAAGGATTAGAACATTTGAGATTGGCCGATAAATAGTAAGTAAACTGAATAGTTTATCATTAAGTTGTTATAAACTGTAGTTCTGAAAAGGATAATTAATTCGGATGTGTTCTTATACCAACACTCGCATATTTCTTCTCTATTAACTCACCTTTATTTTTTACACAAACAAACACCGGTAATCTATCGTTTTAGGTACGTAAAATCGCCCGCGACTAGTAATGTGAAAAACAGGTGACTCCTTACATTTTAATAATTATTTCACATTTTGAGGAGGATTTATGTTTTGAAAAATACAAAAATGTTTCCTTGTTTCATTTATGTACCTGTTTTTAAACAATTGAATTAAAACTTTTCAGTAATAAATGAACACCAGCGATGTTTCCAACAGATGCAACCATGCTCATTTACTATAGCAGCCATCTTGTTTAAGTTTTATTTTTATAGACATATAGCGCAAGATTCAGGCGGAAGTCACTCTATTTTACAAATGGCTGCTGTTTATATAGCAAATCTTGCTTGCAGACACCGCTGTTTAAAGTTAATTTCTGGCCTATATTGATATATTTAGCCATTGATTTAGGTTTATTATTCATTTATCTATAATATTTGACACAAACATATCACAATATACTTCTATTACAGCCTTGATAATGAGGTAACGTTTTCGTACATTAATAGCCGCGGGCGATTTTACGTACCCAAAACGATAGATTACCCAAACACCACCACACAACACTCACCGACTCACACTGAGAACACACTACTGAATGGAATCTACTGACTACGACACAGTCACACGAATTCATTGACTCAATCATAAGTTTAAATGTCATTAGATCTAAGTGGTAGAATCCTCTAACTCAGTTAACTACAATTATCAATTAGTTGGGACGGAGTGGTCTAGTGGTAGAGAGCTGGTGGACTGCTAACCCACCGTGTAAAGTGTAAGCCACTTGTAGTGTAAGCTGTCTTCACTTGCCCTAGGGCCCTAGGCCCTAGCTGTTAGCTAGATCTAGATCTAGTTATTCTAGTCTAGAAGCTAGAGTGCCTAGAGACTGTGTCAGGTTTGAACAATGATAGGGAACTTAACTTAAAACTACAATTTACTTTACTGACTTAGAATCTAATCAGTCTGTTATTTAACAGTTTACAGTTAACACTAAAATCTACATCACACTTCTTACACAACTCTAAAATGATAAATCCAGTGAACTAGAGCCAAGCCAATAATATTATCAATATGAATAAATAAAAATGGGGGGGGGGGGGGGAGCAGTACCTATAGAAATAGAAATATTGGCCCTATGCCCTGAAAATTTAGTCCGCCCCACCCCCTGGAAAAAAAAGAGAAAGATACATGACTAGAGTGTCAACTGTCAGTCTTGCTTGAGTCTAGAGTTGTAGACTGAAATTCTAGATCTAGCTAGGCCTAAATCTAGAGTAGAGTTCTAGTATGTACAGGAGTACAGTAGACACTACATAAGTAAGTAGTAGTAGTAGAATTTTAGTAATTTACTATTTTGGAAAATGGAAATTGGAATAACCCAGGATTAAAGAACTCTTTAGTCTCATTAGTATATTACCATAAATAACTTAATATTATTAAATAACTTATTTTTATGGTTGAATACTGACTACAAAGAAATGAAACTGCAATTTATGTTCACTTTTACATCTCTAGTTTTTAATTTTCAAGTAGATTGCTTTGTTTTTTCCGGCTTGCATTTTAAATTATCAAGGACTTGCGAACCCCAATTGAACCCTTACCCATGTAGTCATTTCGGCAGTTAAACTGTTTTTTTTTTCATTGTTTAAGCTTGAAGACATCATTATTCAAGTGGAAACCAGATAATGATAGTGCTGCATCAGAGTATCAAAAAGCAGGTATGGATAATTCCTCTCTCACTTTACTTTAAACTCTACATTGTATAACTTGAATTAAATATAATATACTTTGTTGTGTAACATACTCATTAATTTATAATGCAAAGATTTCTTTTTTAACTAGGCTATGACTAAAATATTTGTTTTAATTTATTAAAATCAGCACAACTCACTTATAGCCAATTTTGTTTACTTTTATAATTTAAGATATTTTGTTGCCACCATATAGATCTATTCCTATTCTAATGATTTACCTTTTAATCCATCCTGTCATTTTTTTAAATTGAGTTAAATTATACATAAAGTTTTTTTTTTATATTTGTTTCAGCTACAGCTTTCAGAAATGCTAAGGCCTTTGAACAGGCTAAAGAGTCATATATTAAACTAGGTGATTTGCAGAAGACTATGAATGCGTATCTTTTAGCTGTTAAATGTTTCAAATTAGGCTGAACATTTTGATTGATTCAGACTATATTTATTGTTAAACTGTATTTTATTTTATTTAATAACTATGTGTTTTTAAAACATTTATCTTTGATAAAATGTAGATTTAACCTTAACTTATTACTCAGACCATTCCATGCTGCCAAGTAAGTATCTTGTTTTGTTATGTTTTCAAAGATTTTACCTTTACTAATAATTTTTATGTTTCGATTTTAAATACAAAATTTTAGTCTCAAGACGTAATACTCATATTAATATTTAGTTTTTAAAATCCTAACATACTGGTAATAGACTATATGACACTGAGTGATAAAAAGAAAGAAGCAAAAACCATGTAAACTTGACACAACTTCAACAGTGTTTTTCTTTTTCTCAGAGCATATGAACAAGCAGGTTTATTGTGCAAGGAAAACAAACAATACGATGAAGCTGTTCACTGGATGGAGCTAGCAGCCCTAATGTTTCAAGAGCATGGAACACCTGATACAGCTGCTCTGTGTTTGGATAAAGCTGCCAAGTCAGTGTCCCTTAGCTAAAGACTTGTGGTTAAACTAATAACAACTTAATCATTGTTTTTTTTTTTAGTTTTTATTTAGATTCATTGATTTCTACATGGATTTATTATTGCAGAATGGTGGAACAAGACAAACCAGAGAAAGCCATTCATTTATATACTAAAGCTTGCAATGTAGCAGAGGTAACTACTTAATAAACCATATCTGGAAAAACATAACATCATTAATTTCAATTTATAACTACCTGAATTTTAAAAATAAATATTTTCTGCTGGGTACAAGAAAATGTAATGGATTAACATTTTAAGAGAAAAATACCTTTGCTTGATTTATGTTGCTATAAATAAAAATATTGTATTGTTATTAAAATATTTTAGTGTGAAGGTAGGCCAAGGCAGTGTGCAGAATATATTGGCAAGGCTGCAAGATTACAGGTTAAATGCTTTAAGTGAGCACCTTATTCTTTTTAATTAATAGAATTGTAAAATATTAATCACTTTTTTAAATAAAAAAATAATGCTTCAAATCTATATTAACAATTTTCAATAATTAATTAAAATAGAATATATTATTTTATAGTATTTTTTTAAATAATAAAGTCTGTGTATTTTCATAAATGCTTTTTTTGAAAATTAGACACGAAGAAGCTATCAAATCACTTCAACAAGAAATCAAATATTGGCTTGAAGCGGAAAACTATACTTATATTAAAAAAGTGGCTATGGGTGTTATACTGCTTCATCTTACACAAGAGGACTACGTTGCTGCTGACATGTTTTTTAGAAATTGCCTAAGGTGGGTTATTTGCATGTCCTTGGTATTACTCTTAAACTCTTCACATATTTGATACCTATTGCTTATTTATTTATCGGCTTTGGTTATTTTCCTTAAAGACATACTACATACCAAGCTCAAGCAAATAGTAGGACAGATAACATTTGTACATTTTATAAGCCACCAATTTAGATCAGTGAAAGATATTTTATTAAATCCTTAATTCTTTTATTAAATTATTTTTGTTTGGAACTGAAAATTGTATTAATAAGTAAATATTTTTATTTTCCTACAACAGAGACCAAACATATTTTGTTATTTTGTTGATACATAAAATAAATAAAATGTCAAATCACTTTTAGTAACAATCATTATCATTACTACTTTTCTTTGAAACTAGTTACCCTGAGTTTGGGTCTAGTGAAGAGGCTGGAGCACTTGAAGATTTGTTACGAGCATACGATGATGGAGATGAGGAGGCAGGTCAAGCAGTGTTGGCTAAACCCATCTTCAAGTACTTAGATAATATGGTAAATACTTTTTTTTAACAGATTATCAACTTATCTAGGAATGCTTTAATACGTTTTACAAAAATTTAACTTCCTATTAGGTGGAAGACAGTTGGCCCTAAGGATTTAATAATATATTTGGATTTGTTTACTTTAATGACAATGTATTAAACGGGCATATGCTCAATATTAATGATTTACTTTATACCTCTGAACAAATTAAAAATTATGTACTTTACTCTATTCACTTAACTGCATCTCATATTAGTTACTCTAGAACTGAGAAGAAATATGCATTCATGTATACATTGTGCCCTATCTTTGTATAGTTTGCTAGGTTAGCAAGAGACATGAAATTCCTTGGTGGGATAACAACTTCCCGCTCTGCTGCAACCACTAGCACCTACAGCCAGAATGATCAGGACCTGGATGGGGACAACGAGGAGTTTAAAAAAGATGATGATGAGGAGGAGGAAGAATTACCTTCAGAGTTGTGCTAGTACCTTAGTATCCTCATTTGAAAAACGGGAAAACCACTTTGAAAAGAAAGCTAGTCATTATTTGTAATAAATGGATTTTGATATAAAAAATTCCATTTCCTGTAAAGTAAAATCCTTAAGTTATAAATCTACCAGCTGAAGAGTTTCCCTGTTTTTATTCATTTCTATGGTACTTGTTGGTTATGATTTTAAACTTTTTTTTTTATAATAGTGTTTGCTCATTATAGCATAGTGTATGCTGATCATAGCATAGTGTATGCTGATCATATCACATTATTTTATGTACATAGAATATGATGGTTCTTTTCATGTTACTCAACAAATTGTGATAATTTTGAATGTGTGAAGTCTAAATGTTTTTAAATGTTGATATGGGTGATGCCTCTTACAAAATACACTTTTGTTAATTTTTGTGTCTATTATGGTGCTTCCTAAAAACTAAAACTACTTCTCAGACTAGTATTAAGTTCACCTGGTCCAATTGATGTGTGAGATGGAGGTGGAGAAACATTTTGTAGCAAACAATGCATTAATAAGCAGTTAAAACATTATTTTTACAGTAAGGAGAGTAAGAAAAAGATTTTGCCAACTATTGGATGGAATGGTATGATGAGGTTTAGACAGATTTTTTGGGCATTCAAAATGTCTTAAAATTTTAAATAGTTGAGCTTGGGCCAGTACTTAAGTTCAAGCCATTTCCTTCCAAAATCAGTGTTCAAAATATTTTTCAATTATTTGTCGTTTGATCTTTTAAGCCATATTCTAAATATATGTTTTTACTAAATGAATATACATTATTAATTATATTATAAATGTCGTTGGCTGCAAATCCTGTAGCTTAATTTTCTTATGGTAGTTCAGCATTTCCCAAGAGATGTATAAATGGAGGGTTTCAACACTTAGAAAGGAGGTGATTTCCACACATTTTGAAAAAACCTATGTTGTAGTTCATATATAAATTATAATGATGGGGAATGCTGTTATAGACTTTTAAAACTCACTTTGCTCATCCTATTTAGACTATATTTTTAACCTTCTTTTTAGATGTAATTAAACTTTGAATTATAATGCTATAGGAGAGTAAAAGGAAAACCTATTTGATAATGTCTGTTATTAATTTTAAAAGATTAAGAACAAAAATATTAAATGTAAAAGGTCACAGTCTTTTTTGTACACCTTTGTAGAAAGAAATGTATGTTAAGTATAAACATTTAAAAATAGTTACATTTTCAGCATTTAAAAGAATTGTACATGGTTGTCCGTTTTGAACAATTTTTTGTTTTTGAAATTTAGACAAGTGTTTCAAATTATTTTAGCATTTATAGTCCATGAAGGGAGGTAATCAACCCTACAAAACCAATAGAGTTAGCTATTGAATTTTAGTGATATAATAAAAATGGTCAAATTTTATCCTCTGATGTTTGCTCATCTTTGTTTCGCAGTGTTAAGTGTATTTCTGTACAGGGAGCTTAATATGTAGGCAGAGATTAGTTGGCTTACATTATACATGCCCTGCAGTTTTTGTGCAATATACATGTTTGATAATAATAAGATGGTAACTTTTAGTTTTATTCTTGTATTATCTAGTGGCTAAAATATTTTTCAATAAACTTTATAAAAAATGGAGATGAAATTGTGAAGTATATTAAGTTAAATGAAGATATTGGACTATTACTAAAACTTAAAGCAAGTACTTATATTTTGGTGATGTTTCAACTGTGTGTTGATAACACTTAAAATACACAAAGCTTTACAAGAAACATTCCCTATTTTTGTATGTTGTGTTTTACTACATTCATATTTTTATTGTGTTTATGTGCTTGTCACATTAAAAATAAGTTCAATTCATAATAATGTTTTTGTAACGTGTTTAATGAGTGCTTTAGTTGTTTTGTTTGTTTTAACACATTTCAACACATCTTAAGAGCAGGGCAAAGATCAAGTTGTTGCAAATAAATATAGGATTCCTTTCAGAAAGCCAATAATTTCATTGCCTCCAAGTTTAGATTCACCATACACCCTGTCAACAAATGTTATCGGTACCTGAAAAATAAATGTAATAATTATTAACAGTTCTATTGTACTGAAAAATATAAATACAATTGATAATATAACATGCTACTGCATTCCAGAAAAAAAAACTTAAGTCACATGATGCCAAAGGAGCTCAATTTGCTAGAAAATTATATTCTGACCAATGAAGCATTTCATATTTCGTAGTCAATACACACCTCAGCAACTGAGAAGCCATACTGCCTTGCTCTGATGATCATCTCCATCTGAAACACATAGCCTTTGGACACGCATGACTGGATCAGTTTTTCCAGAACTGCTTTTTTGTACAGGCGAAAACTTCCTGTCAAATCTGTCACGCCAGGTCGGAGTAATATTTGTGTCACCAGGTTGGCACCTCGACTGAGGAATTTAAAAGTGAAATCATTATCTATTTACTTACAATTTATTCATGTATTTATGGTGAAAATATAAAAGAAGTCATGTTTTAGTCTGTTGACTTTGAAATGGAAATATGGACAATGAATGAAAAAAATTTAACATACCTAATTAGTTTCCTTTTCAGATCCCAGCCAAAAACACCACCACTTCCTACATAACGAGTCCCTGTTACCACATCATAATCTTTCTCTGCCTGTTTCCTGAGCAGAAGTTGTATATAGTTTTAATAATGACAATGGTTTTTCAAACTCTGTAAACATTGCCAAGTTCAAAGTTGGCACTTGATTATTTCTGCCTGGCAAATTCGATTAAAATATAACACAAAATACTTTCATGTTGACAAAAAAAAACTTAACTTACTTTATAAATTCTGGAATAAATTTTGGCTGTGGAAAAAACATCTTGCAGTTAAAAACTCATTTTTTTTTTAAAAACAATATTTCCTTATTTACAAACTGCACAAAATGGACATGTACAAAAACAATCTCTATATCTTATTTTAATAACAAATATAATATCTATAAAAATAGAGCAACAAAAATGTAATGTTATCCTTAGAGTAACATTGACATAAAATACAACCGAGACATGAGTTATATATAACCCATACTGTAACAGATTTGAAATATATTGACCTATAGAGTAAAAGATATGCAATTTATATTACTCATAAATAAAAAGAGATTTGCAGTAAGAGATATGAGTAACTCACATGATGAGACAAGTCAGCATCAAGAATGATAATGAAGTTTCCTGTTGCATTTTTAATACCATGGATGTATGCTGTTCCTGCATAATATGATTCAATATATATTACAACATTTGTATTATTTGTTTAAAATAAGGTTTTATACTGATAAAGATACAACTGTCAGCAGTTTTGCTAACACAGAGGAAATACTAATACAACAATTTAATTTTAAAAGAAACTTCCGACTTCAGCTTACCTAAACCGAGCTTTTTTTCTCTAGGCCTTAAAATCTAAATTTAAAAAAAAAAGATAAAAATAAAAGTTATTAATAGCAGAGTAATGATCAAAATTATACTAAAAAACAAAGAGCTAACTGGCCATTAACTAATATCACTTGTTTCTGTATCCTCTTTGAGAATTTTGACAAATCATGCGTTTGAAGTTTTACTCTTGCTTTATGAATTGTATCTATGCTCGTATCATTAACTAGGTATTGATAATTTATGCTTCTTTCTGAAAGTGATTAAATGTTAAAGAAGGAATCACATAACTATGACATTACATATTTAACAAAGAGAATGCACAAAGTAGGATGTCTTATTTTTAAAAAAGATCTTTAAAAACACACAAGTCATGATAATAAAAATAAAACTCACAATTTTTTTGTCTCCATAAATTCTCTGTAATTCTTTGGCAACATCTAGAGTCCCATCAGGACTACCATCATCAATAATAATAATTTCATAATCATATCCACTGTTAGAAAAAAATGAAGTTAAACACTGTAATATACTTTTTAGATTCCAAACACTTGGTTAGCTTACACATGATATTTATAACTTGACCACTCTGTATACACATAAGTATGATCTGGAACTATTTGCCTATTACAATGAAAAATTGTCAGATTTCATATAAATATTAACAGATTAAAGTTAAAGTCAGCATAAGCAAACAATCATGAACTTTTTAAGTTCTAAATTTAAATTTTTTTTAAACATAAGGCCCTATTTTAAATTTTATATATTTAAAATTATTAGCCTATTAGGCCTATTAATTAATAATTGTAATAATTATCAATATAATACTTTATATAAATTATATAGGAATATAGGCCCAAGGCCTACTATTTAGAACAAATTATGGGAACATTTCCCAAAATATTGTAAACATATATTTTGATGAAAATACCTCATTGACTTATTTAGTAAAATTTAGTTATTAGGGGGCCTAGGCCTATAGAATATAGATTATTATAAATATTAGGCTATAGGGCATGGCATATATCATAGCCTACATTATTTATAGAGGCCTAAGTAACTAGGCCTAAGTAGATTTAGATTTCATTTAGTCAATAGTCAATTGTTAGTATGGGTGTGGGGAAATTGCGAGACGCGAAAAGCGAAATGGCGAGGCGGGAAAATGCGAGAAGGGTGCGAAAAGGGTCGGTCACGTGACTTTTTTGTCTCGCATTTTACCACAAGCCAATACTTACGCTGGGTGGTGTTGAAATGCGAAGATTTCTGCGAAAAATTTACCGCACCCGATTTTCAGTGGTATTTGGTCCAGACTTCAAAGACGTTTCATTTACATTGTTAAAACTTCCGATTTTTCCGTCGCTAGACATACTGATGATTTGTCAACTCCCCCCATCTTTTGTGTCGACTTAGAATACCACCTTGTTCGAAACCGACGGAAATACCGCCAACGATAGATCAACTTCTGTCTTTTGCGTGGAACGCAGAGGCCGTCTGATTTACCATCTTTGAAGATCGCCGTGCCCGGATCCGCTGCCGCCGCAAACATATTTTCTATTGTTGCATAGAAATTTTTTATTATAGTCGCCGCCTACGATTTTTTTCTAGCTTTTTTACCATATAAATCTAAGCACAAGGAAATGCCTACATCATTCGGATACAACAAAATAAAGTGACGTCACCGATATTATCAGTTGCTCGTGCTATATCGTAAGCTATGGGCCTACTTCAAATATTTTTAAAACCAAGTTGAACTTATCTGAATTTTTTGGTTTTGGTGGTGGTGTTATTTGGGGTCTTCCATAAATGACGTCACACTCGTAGGGGGGGGGGTCTGTAATTTTATGACGGTGTGTGATGAGGGGGAGGAGGGGGGGGGGTGTTAGATGTGAAGTCACACTATAAAAAAGCAATGTTAGAAAAATAATTTTATACGTTTTTGGCGTTTTAGAATACTGTTTTAATACATTGTAATAGGAATTGATTAAAATACTCTATTTTGACCGAAATTAGACAAGATTTTGGGAAAATATCGATGTTTTAAAAAAACTCAACTGCTGGTGACAACAATGAGCAAGACATTGCCAAAATTACAGAAATGATAAAAATATACAAATTATAAAAAACGGAAAACATATGTTGAGCGTGCGGATGATGATGATGATGAGAACATGGGTGCCAGTGTTGTTTGTGGGATGAACGAGGAGGTCAACTGTGATGAGAATGTGAAATGTTGTGAATGTGGATTGGAAGAAGTAGCAAAAGAAAAATGTATAAATGGGAGTCTAATGAACTGGGTTGGGTGTACTATGTGTGAAAGATGGTGTCACGAGGTGTGTTTGAGGACTGTTTCAGAAGATTTTGTTTGTAAATTTTGTTTGTAATTAAAATTACTTAATAAAAAAATAAATTGCACTTTTTAGAATTGTTTATACTTTTACACTTTTTGCAAGTACAAAAATCCATAAATAGATGTTGCAAAATATCTCTCCTGCTGACAAGATTATACCAATTCACAATGACACAGCTCACTTTTGTATAAACATGAGCGGGCTAGAGTTTTAAATTAATGCCGACTGAGACGGGATTTTCTTCTCGCTAACAAGAGCGGGCGATGACAGTAGCACAGCAACGATGTTAGGATTTTTAAATAGATAGATCTAGATATAGATCTGTTTATCTTCTTAGTATCTAGATAAAAAATAACAACATACAACACTCGTGTTAAAGGGTATGGCTAAATGCTTGTTTATTTTAAAACAAAAAAAAAAATAATTTAAATAAATAAAGATGGAAAATAAAGGAAAAAACTTTTTTCGCAAAAAGTGTCTCGCTATTTACCCTTAATTTCGCAGGTATGTCTCGCATTACCTTCTCGCATTTTCCCGCCTCGCCATTTCGCTTTTCGCGTCTCGCAATTTCCCCACACCCTGTTAGTATTAATATAGAGAGTGTCTATTGGTACTTCACTACAAATAGCCTTCAGAGGGCTATTCGTACTTCGCTATTTTTAGCCGACCAATCAAATTTATTTTTAAATTCATTGTCCTGCAGTTTATGTATGAGATTCAAATTTTGTAGTTAGTCGTAACTGTTCCGGTGGTCGAAGTGGTGGTAGCGCATTGGCTTACTAGTTTTTTGAGGCGTGGGTTCGATTCCCGCTGGCTCTGAGGTTTTTTTTTTTTTTTTTGCTTTTTTTAAATTTTTTTTTTAAGGATTAGGGTTTAGCATTAGGGTTAGGTATAGGGTTAGGGTTAAGGCTAGGGTTAGGGTTAGGGTTAGGGTTAGGCATAGGGTTAGGGTTAGGTATAGGGTTAGGTATAGGGTTAGGGAGATCTAAAAAATAATTTGTTCTATATCTATACAGCTTGTAAAAGATGTAAAAGGGAATTCAAGAATTAAAAAAAATGCCACACGCTGATTGGTCAGAGTACGAATAGCCTTCATAGGGCTATTTGTAGTTCACTACGAATAGCCGCAGCCTTAATATAATACTAAATTACACTCAATAGTAGACCTAGAACATTGTTAAGTTATAATATATATTATAAAAGGCCTAATAGGTAGTTTTTCTCACTAAATCTAGAATCTACGCAATTTTCAATTTAAACATGACCACTGAATAATAGACATACATATTTAATCCATAAGCCACTAATTTTGAAGTTTTTAGTTCGTTTTAAACTAAATTACTTAATTTAATATTTATTGACACTCACTGCCATGGCCAACACATCTCTCCATGACAACTCTTCTGACCCTTGAAGGTAAAGAAAACCACAAATGCGATTAGACTTTTTAAGTGGCCATGTACCCAGAGTTCCCCACTAGTGATCATCAAATAGAGGTCACGTGGTTTTTAAAATATAAAAAATTTGGTTGTCATTCAAAAGTCGTGTCTTATTTTAAAAAGCGCATGCAATATTTGATTTATTTCTTCATATAATGATAAACCTAATAGTTCTACAACCTCCAATTCATTTTTGTGACCTCCAGGCTGATATTTTAGAAGTTCTATTAATTTTAATGAGACCGACTTTTAAATTTAGCCTTCATTCTCCAAAGCAAATTTTAAAACGCTTTTCTGGCATATTTAGCCTTGCCACTTATGGTTTGTTGTTATGACACGGAAATCCCGCCATTTTGCGCGTGGTAAACATTTTTAAATGTAATTAGTTGAAGGTCTCTGGAATTTGGCCGAAAAATTGCCGAAAATCGAACGTCCGGTCCGGGTGCCATATTGTTGTTAGCAACCGACCACGCCTCCAAGTGAACGAGAAATACTACTAATAGGCTATAATAATCAATAGGCCTAATATATTAATAGTTAATATTATAATTATAATTATTCTAATATTCTGATCTACTGTCACATTTCGTCACTTTCAGTTTACTTTCAGTTGCAACGTCAACAGTCAATACAAGTGGAATCTCTGTAGCTTACACAGGCTGTGTAGGTCTATGTAATGCCTGACATGCATAATAAAATATAACATATTTTGATATTACCTTTCAGAAAAATATTTTACCAGAAGCCAGACGATTAATGGTAAATTGTTACGTTCTTCGTAAGTAGGAAGAAGAACCGAATACTTATTTTTGTCAGCCATACTTGTAATGTCATTGTCAAGGGTCAAAGGAAAAAACAAAGGGGTGTTTCATTATAAAAATTGGTTTTAAACTAGAAATGATTACTAATTGTCATTATTTTGTATATTCAGATATTATTACTAAATAAAATTAAACATTTATAAAATAAATCTAAAATAAATCTAAAATAAAACTCAAACTAGAAACGTGTATATATTATTAACCTTTGTTTAATTACGAAGAGGTCCCTCTGAAAGGTTAAGTAAACGTGACATCCTGTTATGGGCGTGAAACAGAAACTAGAAAATAAAATAAACATCATAACCAAGATTCTAGAACTAGATCTAGATCTATATTTTTTTCAAAGCTGTTAATTTACTGTTAAAATGGCATTTTTGGAAACTGACACACTAGGACAAGAAAGGTTGTTTAAATAATAATAAATAATTAGGCCTACTAGATCTAACTTTTTTTCTAATTAAAATATTTTTTTTTTTGGTTTTGGGGTGCTGAGTGACGAGTGTTGTTGTAGGTACTAGATCTAGATCTAGATCTAGTGTACTAGGCTACCTCTGAAGTCGAGTGATCAGTAAGTCACTTAGTGACTACTGTTGTAGTTATACTGTAGTACTATTTGTAGTACTCTGAGACTGAACTCTGACTACTAACTGAGTGATTTAGACTAACTAGTGAGTAGTAGTACTACTTACTACTACTTAGGCCTACTAGTTTGAGAAATCTCACTAGAGTAGAGTCACTCAGACTCCAGTACAGTAACTGAGAAAGTCCCTGGAACTATGTTAAAATTAAAAACTACATAGATCTAGATTCTAGTAGTAGTCCTTTGTCAACCTTTGTCCTATGAAATTTATTTACTGCTGTGTTACTAAAATATTAGACTAGATCTTCATCTGCTTATCACTTCACTTTAATCACTTAGACTACATTTATTACATATATAATAATAATATATAGATCTATATAGGCCTACTACTTAGGGCCTACTTAGTTACTAAGTTAGGGGCCTAAATTTAAAAAAAAATGACTAATTAATAGAATACTATTGAATACATATCCGATAACCCTACATGCATTACTATTATATAATTTATATTTATTAATTTATTATAAGCATCACCCACACCCTCGCATAATATATATCCTGGTTCAATCAGGTAAGTTTAAATGGTGGCTTTCACCACAGCTGGTTCCAAGCAACACTTTTGTCTTATGTTTATATTCCTTCTGTGTACATAGACTACAGTATCCACGACACTAATTCTTCAACCCCTGAGCTCTTTTGACCCTTGTATATAGGCCCTATATTACATATGTAATTGCAAATGAATTATATTTTTTTCAGATTTTCTCTACTTCTCCTTGATCCTGGAGAAATTTACTTTGAAGATTTTAGTGTTTTCTACTACCCTGCTGGCCTTTCTTTACAACAAGCAATCAACAAGTCAGTAATTCAATATTAACAATATTGTGTAATAAATAGTCATACAGCTACAAAATCACAGTATAAAATATTGTAAAATTTGACATTTGTTATTTCCATTTTCTTTATTTTTTTTTACAGAAAACAACGAGGGCACTTAAAACTGTGTTCTAAGTCTATTGTATTTGTACCTCAGGAAATACAGTTTCCCATCTTGAAGGTTAGTGCCTTTATTTTAATAACACATACCCTACAATTTTGTTCTAGGTGCTTTACTAAGTTTTTATTTTATACCTTGAAGTTATAGTTACAGTATTAGTGATGATTTCATTATTTCAACAGTTCCCTCTTAGGTTTGTTCAAAATATTGATGAATGGACTGGTGGGTTGTTTACAAAGTAAGTAGAAGCTGTAACTTTAAACTTGTCTAATTTCACTTCTAAGTTCTTAAAATATAACTTTGATTTAGTTTTCTTTAAACCTTTTTACAATTGTATATATGTTTTTAAAAGCAAATGTTCTCATAAAATTTGGATAGAGTGGAAAAAGGTATCATGATCTCTACACAACAAACAGTGGAGATGAAAGAGAAAAATATTGTGGCACCTTTTATTTTTAAAAAGGTAATAAATATTTAGCCAAGTTTTAGATTATTTAACACATTAGATGTTATTAAATTATTCATTGCTGAAAAACCAATCCATAATATGATTTTTTTAGGAAGAATGCCAGCATTTATTTTCTTTGAACTATGCATCTGTTGATGACTGCTTGCCTCAAATGTGCCAGCTCCATAGAGCATCTACTCTACCTCCTTGTGATCAGCAGGCTATGGTACGTTGCTACTCTCAGTGTCAATCAACATTTCATTTACATAATTTACTTCCTCTAACCAACATGTTATTGGCAAAGGCAGCTCAACTTTGTTTTTATTTTTTTTAGTTGAAATAAAGTTACCTTCAGCTTTTTATTTCCTTGTAGTTAATTTATGGATAGTTTTAACAGACTGAAAGAGGCTCTTGTTATTTAATTACCCTTAGTTCCACTTGTTACTGTTTCAGCTGAATGCCATTATGTTGTCACGCCAGTCTAGAGTCAAGTTCAACACAAGCTGGTATTGTGCTCATTTTTTTTATTTTACAGCCTGAATATGGCATACAGTTAAATTAAAAATTCTCAGGAGCTATTAAAAACAACATTGATTTCAATGACAGGTTGGAAGATATTTATGAAAAGATAATTCTGGAGACACGAGGAGATAGAATAACCCCCCTTGTTACCAACCCAGGTCGAATTATGCTGACATCTAGTCGCCTATACTTTCAGCCTTTCAGCAACATTGACAAAGTAAATCTACTGCTCTACTACTATTAGTCGATTTCATATATTTAGTTGATGTTGTTTTTTACTTTGTTTTAAGCACAAATATTATGATTGATATGTTTGATTTTTTGCTAATGCTTTTATTTATTCAGTGGCCTGTGTTGAAATTTCGTATAAAGGACATCAAAAGATTAATCTGTCGCAGATTTCTATTGAGGCAACTTGTACGTGTTGGTTAGGAACTTCTAATCATTTACCCAGTAAGCCAACTTAGAAGACCAGTCTTGCTTATGACTGTTGATTTACATGATGCTACTGCACTATTTTCAGGGTTTGGAGATATTCTGTGGTGACTCTGCTCCAGTATCCCATTTATTTATTGCCTTTAAGACTGAAGAAGCAAGAAATCAGCTCTATGAAAACATCATGAACTCTTCTGGTAAAATATGTATTATTTCTATTATTGTTTTCTAAATATACATGGAACCAATGTTAATATTGTTAAACATACGCCTGTTTTCAAGTATTAAAAAAACAAGATTTTCCATACAAAAATTAATTGCAAAACATCATAATATGGCAATGTTGATTTTCCTCTGGTATTTTTGCTTATGATAAATATCAATATTTTCAAAGTTCCTTCTATTATGGGATGTTTCTATTGTGTATCCACACAGATCTCTGCCTGGATGATACAAGACAAGAAGACATGACTCTTAAGTGGGTCAATGGAGTAATTTCAAACTATGATTACTTGCTGTATCTTAACAGGTAAGGAGATTTGATACAGATAACAAAATGTCTTTTATGCATTGACAAGTTAGCAAACAATAATGTTATATTTGAACAATATACACACAGTCTTACAAATTTTATTCCCGCAACATCTGACAAAAGTATTTTAAATAGGAGAATAAGCATAGTAGGGTAAATAGTATATACACACAGTTAATTAAAAACAAACTATTTCTATATCTCTAGTATTTTTCGTATTTTATAATTTATAAATCACCATAGATCATATCCTACTATTTTTATTCAAATAATTACTTTAATTAGCTTGATCCCATCACTTCTGTTAAGAGTCTCTCAGTATAAGATTTATTAATATTATATAAACTCACTACAATAGTTCTCTAGTTTGATTGAAAATAATTTGTTACATCTCTCTTTTAGTTTAGCAGATAGAAGCTTCAATGACTTGTCTCAGTACCCTGTCATGCCTTGGGTTATTCAGGACTACACCAGTCAATCCTTAGGTGAATAAAGTAACAATTTGTAATTAAAACAATTAGTCTGTTATTGTGATTGGCTGATATTACATTTAAGTTAATTGTTTATTTTTTCTAGACCTTAACAATGAAGAAGTATACAGGGACCTCAGCAAACCTATTGGTGCCTTGAATACTGAAAGACTAGAAAGAATTTTGGTAATTTTACCAGCTAATGTATTTAATTATCTTATTATATTTATATTGATTGCACAAATAAAATGTTGCTCTGATGTAAGTTTTCCTAACCTCTGTTTGGTCACAGACCTTTGGTTCTAACAGTCCACCTCACACAGTATTGTATTTCTATTTTCTTCCTGTAGGAGAGACTGCCAGATTTATCAGAACCAAAGTTCCTGTATGGCTCTCATTATTCTACACCTGGATATGTGCTCTTCTATTTGGCCAGGATTGGTCAGTCCTTCATTTTTTTAAAATATTTACATGCAGCAATTGATAACAGTAAAAATATATGAAAAAAAATATAATTGAACTAAAAAAAATTTGGTATATTTAAATTTGTTGTACTTCAGCCCCTGAGTATGTGTTGTGTTTACAAAATGGCAAGTTTGATCACCCAGACAGAATGTTTAACAAGTAAGTCCAAAAGTTAATTTAAAGTAACATTGTAATTCTATAAATTATGATTATAAAATCTTGATAACTACTGTAGTAACTTCATGTTATGTCTTGAGTTAATAATTTCTTATCTTTGCTTACTCAGCTTGTTTGATACATGGAACAATGTACTTGCTGGGGCTTCAGACTTCAAGGAGTTAATTCCTGAGTTCTACAATGGATCAGGGGATTTCCTTGTACACAGAGGGGTAAAATCACTTCACAGTTGGTTAATACTACAGTGGTAGCTAATGAGCTACTAAAATTATTTTATATTAATGATATTTAGTTTACTTTCTGCTAATTAAATGTTGATAATAATTAATAAAGTTTTATTACACTTTTTTCATCAGCCAGTTACTTTTGGATTCCGAAATGACAGTCGACCAGTTGGTGATGTTGAACTTCCTCCATGGGCTTCCAGTAAGCTCTTCAACTATATTTTACATGATATAGTGTTTAAAGTTAATTTAAAAAATTATGTGTGAAAATCTGTATGAATTTTTTTAGTAAAAAGCCTTTAACGTATAGTAAGAAATATGCTGTTAATGGTTGAATTATTTTATTTCTAACCTGTTACCACAGCTCCGTCAGAATTTATATCAATTCTGCGTAATGCGTTAGAGTCTGACATTGTCTCACGTAGCATTCATCACTGGATTGATCTCATATTTGGCTTTCAACAAAGGGGAGATGAAGCTTGGAAAGCTAATAATGGTAATATTTTTCTTGTTTAAAATTCTTTACTTAATAGTACAACTCACTTTTTCATTTCTTTTTGGCATAATGTTAGATTTTTGTGTGTATTTGCATGGTTATTAAATAGTCATTAAAATCTCAAAATTTGTTTATTTATATAATATTTACTTTCATTAAATTTTTATACTTTATTAAACTTTTACATCTATCAACAGTCGGAATTATTTTATTTAAGATATACAATATTCTTTTCAGTTAAAATTTTTATTCATCTCTTTCAGTATTTTACTACTTGACGTATGAAGGAGCCATTGATCTTGATAGGCAAGTTGCAGCTTATTTTTTAAATTTGATGTATTATATTTCTATATGTGCTAAATGTCATGTGTGGTGTTAATTAAATGGTGGAAAGCCGTATTGCTTTCCTGAAAAATTTATGTTTGGCCTTTTGCCTTTGCTTAACATATTCATGTTCTAGATTCCATCTAGCTCTTTTTGGTATCAAAAACCATTTGGGGCATGTATCTGTCACATTGTATGCTCTGACTACTACAGTAGGTGCACCCTTGTTAATATTTTCTTGTGGCTTTTTTTCAGCATCCAAGATGAAGCAGAACGTAAAAGCTTGGAGACCCAGATCATGGAGTTTGGCCAGGCGCCCAAACAGCTCTTCAAAACTCCCCACCCGCAGAGGTTCAAGTCCCAGGCCATCCCCAAACTGTTTGATACTCTACCTCAGGTCGCCTCTATTGAAACAGCTCCTGTTGCTGATGTCATTAGCTCCCCTGCTGACTCTCCAGGTAGGTGGCAGTAGTTGTATGACTTTTTATCTTTTTTTTTTGTTTTTATGGTTTGTTATAGTAAAGAATTTCCTATTACTTCATAAACTTCATTGCTACTTATCCTTTAAATTATTCATTTGTTCACCTTATATTTTTATTTTCTAAACCTGCATGTTGTCTTTTGAACATTTTGTAGTCAGATCAAACGGTGACAGGACAAATGATCTCAGACAAAATATCTCAGACAAAATATCTCACACCTAAATTTTAATAGTGTATTGGGTGACTTTAGTTGATCTGAACAATTTTTATTTACTGTCGTATGGTTTTGTTTAATATGTTTAATATTGTTTATCGGCCCATATGATAATTGTAAGAAATGTTTGCTGTATAAATTTATCATATTGCACTTTTAAAATTGTATATTGCATTTTAAAATTAGGATTATTACTATAGAAGATTAAAGAAATTGTTCGATAGACACCGTAGGCGGGCTTGACAAACATGAGACAATCCAACCATGTCAGGGGGACGAAACTAGATCAAAGAGGATGAAATAACAATAGAGAAACACCTTCGTATCAAGGTGGCAGCCCGCTTTGATGGTAGAGACATACCTTAAGGGAACGACATCCGCCCTCCATGAACAATACAACTAATAGCTAAATTCAATAGTTATGCGTCGGTCACACCTTAGTGATCAGGTGACTAATGCTTATTTAAGACAAACAGCGGTCATCGCGGAGTTAGAACATGTCGAGCAAGAGTTCACACAATACATGATCACATAGTATTGGAGAGGAGTGATCATAATGATGTACTGTCAGCAAAGAAACGTGCAATAAAAACAATAATTTTACGTTACGAACCTGGAGACCCATTAACATTTTTGAAAGATATTCCGCATGTTTTAAACATTATTGTGTATAGCTGCCGTTACTTTGTTTTATACATTATCATTTATCATACCTTTCAGGCTAAAGGAGAAAGTTTGTTTTAATTTTTATTTTTTCAAATCAAAGGCCATTAGAAAGATTAAATTAAATAAATCTTTTGATGGTTTGTTAAGTTTAACAAATTCATTTTATTCACAATTATGATGCGTAAAGAAAGTAAACAAAACCATATTGACAGTCAATTTAAAAAAAAAGTTCAAATGAACTAAAATCATTGTACATACTATCAACATTTTGCTGGGAGATATTTTGTCTGAGATCATTTGTCCATGATATCATTTGTCCTGATATATTTTGTCCTGGTATCTTTTGTCCTTGAGATCATTTGTCCTTGAGATAATTTGTCCTGAGATCATTTGTCCTGAGATCATTTGTCCGTGAGATATTTTGTCTGAGATATTTTGTCTGAAATCATTTGTCCTGAGATCATTTGTCATGGAACCGATCAAACTATTCTCAAGTAATTTATTTTATTTAAAAAATTTTCGAATAGTGATATTTAATCAAATCTCCCCAGGCCATTGCTCATAGACATTTTTTGCTATTTTGGATATCCTCTTGTGCCTATGACACATGGAGCAGATGAAGTAGAGTTCATCTGTTTTAATAAAGGTATAGTGTGGTAAGCACTATGCCCAGCTGCCTTGTTTTCTGTATTGTGAGTCAGGTACCCATCAAAGCTTGGTGGACTCAGGGACCTCTTATAGACTTAGGTTGGGATCCAAACTCGAGACTTTCGAGTTAGCAGTCATAAGCTCTAACATTAGCCCTCGCCATCCCACATAGTATATAAAGTTTAATTAAAAAACTGATTAGTTTGTTATACAAGATCCTATTTTGCTCACTGTGCACTTGTTGTTTAGATGGTGGGGTCAACAAGAAGGAGGGAGTGAAAAAACTGGACCTCAGCAAACTGACGTGTCACCTGCAGTACACACTTCATAAAGAGTAGGTTGGCACTTTATGTTAATATAGAAGTACCTGAATTGTTGTCACTTATGTATCAAGTTGTTTCCCTTTTGAACCTGGCAATCTATAGGTTTTATGAAATAGGGTTCACCTGTTTCTTCCACTTTGGCATATGAAGGGATAGTGTGGCCAGTACTGTTCCCAGCCACCTTTACATTCCCTGATTGTATCAGATAACCATCAGAGCTGGGATCCAAGCTAGAGTAAAAACATTAATAAGTTTTCTAAAGTTAAAGTGAATACTCTATGTTTTTGGAAATATTTTTCTTGGCTGCACTATTATATGATGTGCAGTGATATATATTTAACAGTTTCTTTTTGTCATCAGTGCTGTGACCGAGGTGAGGATGTCTCCTGATGGACTGAGTACTTTCTCTGTATCTCAAGGTAATAGAAAACTATTTTAAAGAAAAAATGTGTAGATTTTTCTTCTATCTTCCTATGTTTATATTAACTTCCTATTTATTTTTGACATTAGAAAACCTTGTATAAGTTGTTCTTCTGCTGCTCATTACACTTAAAATTGTATATTTCCCATTTTGTTGTGGCCTTTATGTATTATTCCCTATCTGACAATATTGAGGCAACACCAAAATATTGTTGTGTTTTACAGACAGTTTCCTGAAAATGTATTCACTGGAGGACCAGAGACAACTTCGTAGTGTCAACATGTCTGCAATGGTGGGGTTTGTTTATAATGCATATTTTAATAGTTATTGCAATTTACTATTTTACTAAATGTTTTTGTGGCGAAACATAGCTATGATTTTATACCTAGCTGTAAAACATATTTTGTTTTGGAAGGAAATGTCTGAAAAGAATTTTCCTATTATCTGTGTGAAAAGAGGAGTCAGTTAACAAGCTATCATGTTTAAAATGCTTTTTAATGGACATTTAGATTGATTTAATAAAGTGTTATGTACTGTATTGCATGTATTTATTGATAGGCACTCTCCTCGTGTGAAGTTATGGAAGATAACAAAACTATAGTAGTGGGATGCTGGGATAACAAAGTGTAAGTTAACCATCTTGATATAATAATAAACAATAATAGATTTAGTGCTATGAAAACCATTCACTATTACTGTATTCATTTAGCCCTAAAGTTAAAGGTTTGAAATCTTTGAAATCTAAACATTCAAAACAAATAAGCTAAATAATGTGAATTTGTGCTACAACAAGTACTGAGATGTAAAAATAAAATAACAAAAATAATATAAAATTTGCTAAATGCTTGGTATCTGACCTGATTTTGACTTATGTATCTTTTTGTATCTTCACCTTTGTTTTGGTTTTAAGATATTTTCTTGTATGGAACATTTTAATTGCACAGTCTGCATCATGTATTCTTGTTTAAGTTCTGTGTTCAAGTTATGAATAAAAACCAACTTATTTTGCATTATTTACAAAAAATGCAGCTTTGGAAATTTTTGCTTTCAGATATTTTTACAGCATAGAATATGGCAGAGTTTTGGACAAATTGAATGGACATGATGATGCTGGTACGTTTGGGTCATTTTATTTTGGCTTTTTCTTTCTACTAGTTTTATTTACCATTTCAAAAGTCATTGATATTTTGAAGCCATTGCTTTAGAATTCCCAGTTATGACGTATAAATGTTTCTATTTTTAAAATTTAGTTTCCTGTGTTCGATGGAAGTCTGGCAAACTATTTACTGCTTCATGGGATTCCACTGTCAAGGTTTGTTATTTGATACAATTTTTATTAGTTATTTTAATTTCCAAGAATTTCCACAACCATTTTAGAAATAATTCTCTTCTTTATTCGTTGACTGATTTATTAGAATGGTCAATATAATTTAGTTGCACACTTTTAATATTTAAGTAATTACATCTTGTATAAAAACTAAACCCTTAATTTGATAAGTAAAAATGATAGATAATTCTTTACAAAAAATGTGTTTTCTACATTAACTAGGTATGGGAAATGGACTTTGCTAATACACCAAGTGGTCTTCCCAATCCTGAGTATTTGGTATGTTACAGTAAATATATCTGGATATCATCAAATATTACTGTACATATATAATTATACATACCGTAATGAAGACAGTTCTGCTTTAGAATAATATTCTGATGTGTACATAACCCATTACCCTGAAATCTTGTTCTTTAGAACAGTATTCTAGTGTGTACATGAACCCTGAAATTTTGTTACTTTGCCAACAGGGTCAATTGGATCATGATGAAGGTGTGACAAGTCTAGACATTGATGACAACTGTGTTGTCATGGTGACTGGCACTAAAGATGGACACTTGTCTCTATGGGATTTGATCCACTTATACTCCCTATCTAGTCACGCAGGTATGTATTATTGTGTTGTACATGCTAGTGATCAGTGTGTAGCAATCATAATATTTTAATATTATAGTTGCTTATATTTGTGAAAGTTGTACTGAATGTCATTATTTACTGAGTTTCTGTTGAATGTTACTATCTGAGGTTGAATAGAATGTCAGTGTTTACTAACTGAGGTTATGTTGAATGTTAGTGTTTACTTTTTGAGATTCTATTTAATGTCGGTGTTTACCTTCTCAGTTTATGTAGAATGTCAGTATTTACTATAAGGGCTTATGTTGAATGTCAGTGTTTAGCATCTGATGTTATGCTGCATGTCAGTGTTTAGTATCTGAGGTTATGCTGAATGTCAGTGTTTACTATCTTTCAGCCCACTCTGGTGCAGTCAATGCCTGCCTACTGAGCCCTGACAAGCACAGGATCTACTCTTGCGGAGCTGACAACCTGCTCAAAGTTTTAGATGTGGAAACTATGACAGAGTTATTTGCTAAAGATCTCAAACATCAGATATGGTATGAAACTTTTTGTATGTTCAATTTAAAATAATCTACAAAGAGTTCAAAAAGTTAAATACTTAAATATTTTCATATACTTTTTATTGTGATACTTCAATACTTTCCAAAACACCTATCAAAATAGGGCAGCTTTTTTTTTCAGCCTTTTTTCTCTGGGGGTGGGGCACTTGAAATTGCCAGGGTTAAAGTACATATTTTACTTTATAAGTTTTTCATTTTTTTCTATCTTTGTTGGGTTGTCAGTGCCCCCCCCCCCCCCCCCCCCAACTGATGCTTGAAACAAAAAGAAACATTGAAATGAGATAATATTTTATTTATACTAATTCTCCAGCTGTATGAGCCGACTTGATTCTACCTGTATCCTAACTGGTGACGCTGGAGGTAAACTATGTTTGTGGGATATGGACAAAGGGCAGGTCACTCAAAAGTTGAAAGCGCATAATGGTTTGTTCCCTTTTTAAAAAAAAATATTCCCCATATGTAACCTTAGCAATAGTTTCCTAATGTTATTTTTCCCTTGTGAAGTTTATATATTTTTTGCTTCCTCGTTTGTAGACCATTTATTTGTGTCTTCCCCAGGAGCAGTGACTTGTATGGATCTTCACTACAGAGATGTCTTGTTGACAGGGGGTAGTGACAGAACAGTCATGCTATGGAAGCAACAACATTAGCTGTATGTCTAGTTGACAGGGGGTAGTGACAGAATAGTCATGCTATGGAAGCAACAACATTAGCTGTATGTCTAGTTGACAGGGGGTAGTGACAGAATAGTCATGCTATGGAAGCAACAACATTAGCTGTATGTCTAGTTGACAGGGGGTAGTGACAGAATAGTCATGCTATGGAAGCAACAACATTAGCTGTATGTCTAGTTGACAGGGGGTAGTGACAGAACAGTCATGCTATGGAAGCAACAACATTAGCTGTATGTCTAGTTGACAGAGTGTAGTGATAGAACACTATGTTTTGTTGACATGGGGTAGTGACGGAACAGTCATGCTATGGAAGCAACAACATTAGCATCTAATACTTTTTAATTGATTTTTCTCTTGGTACTTGAATCATTCAAGTAACACTAAAGTCTTGGATATCACTCTAATGTCAAATTTATTACATGAAGTTATGACCATAAAGTAATGAATATCTAGATTTCTGGTTGTCCAAATTACATGCACTATTAAAGCTGTAATGTTGTTAAATTATTCAGTCAAAATGTAGTTAACTGATTTGTGATAGGTATTAATAACGTTGGGGGAGCTATACAATTTTTGAATGTATTTAATGTGTTGTCAAATGAGATAAGATTTTTGTAAACAACTGATTTTATGTCTCATTTAATTGTCAAACCTGTTATTTAAGCCCAAGCTTTCAATCCATAAATGTAACATTCCTCTTCAAGTGACCTTTGACACTGAGGTAAGATCACCATCTGGTTAGTGCACTGTTATCTGCTGCGCTGATATTCTAGAGAAAGGTGCTACTGATATATTTACCATCAGGGTCAAACTGCAGATATTTCTACCTTACCCTAACACTGACCCTAGCAAAATACTGACTGTTAAGTAAACTAATATGATAGTTTTGCCCTGCATGCCAGTATTAAAACATCATAAGTAATCTTTATGTAGCCATAAAAAAGGTACATGTACTACTTGGCTGCTGTGGTCACAGAAACAAGTGAACTCTATTTCACTTGCCCCGTAGACAGTCAGGTTTGAAAGGGAACTTTACTACTTGGTTGCTAATCCCTGCATGTTTATACTTTGTGTTTGTTAAACTTTACTCACTAGTACTTGTGTTACCTGTGTTAAAAAAACAGACTCTGGTAGCTATGGAAACAAACCCACAGATTCCCATGTCCTAGTCTAATGAAAGCACTGAATCTAGCATCAGTTGATAGTTAAAGGTTACAATGAAATTGTTTCTTTAAAAATGTAAACTCTGTTCAATGCCAACCATTCCACTATAATAGGGGTTCCCAACCCTGTGCCCGCGCGCCCGCTGAACGATTCGTATGTGCCCGCCTCTCACTATTCGACAGAGACAGAATTTTTTTTCATAAACATTATTTTAAAATATGATTTATTTTTATTCATTTGTTACAGTTTTAATTTTTTTTGACTGCCTAGGTTTATTAAATATGTTCGATACTTGTCCCAACTTGTCTAGCTTCGAGCCAGACTGCACTATTTACGTTTTGTAAATACATTTCTCTGTGTGTATGCAATTTGAAAAAAATGCCAAATAATTTTATTATTTTGAAACAGTTTTGTTTATTATTTATTAATACATTATGACTATAATATAATAAGAAAATAAGAAAAACAAATTATGGGAAAATGTTTAATGACAAGTTATGTAAGCAGTTTGTCGATTTAAAATAGGTGGTGCCCGCCACCCTACCGATATTTTAGAATGTGCTCTAGAGTAGAAAAAGGTTGGGAACCCCTGCACTATAACCTAACAAGTGTGGAAGAGAGTCTGTAACTCCTGAACTAACAGTGGAGGTCTGGATAATGTTACATGACAGGGTCAGAAGTTTAATGTTATTGTTATCATTGTGATATTGAGATTAGATTGTGTCTTAACCCATGATATTGTTTTTGATTTTTTAATTCCTAGACATTTTTTTATGCTTGATATACTCAGATGAAAGTGTAATATTTTTGTGAAAACATTAACCATATGTGTGATAAGTTTGTCTTAGCTGAAACATTTTTGTCAATATTTAAAGTCTGAGTTTTACAGTATCAGAGAAATGATGTAACTACTCTGCATAGATATCAATACTCATAAATAATTGACATTGTTTTGCTTGCTATTAAATCTGTCAATACAGTACTGCAATTATTGCTAGTCTTAAAGCTTATAGCTTTTAAAATTTCTTTTGTTTTATGTTATCTTATGAAGGGGCATTAATTTTGCAAATCTTATTTGCCAATTAGGAAAGCTGAATTAATAATGTACTAGATATTTTTTTTAACCGCTACTTTGACCCATCGAGTCAATTTTAAAGTTGATGTTATTCAAGTTTTAGAATACAAGTTTTAAAGCTTTTTAATTCACTAATTATCTAACAAATAAACTTGTCTTTAAATGTTAACATTATTTTTTAAAACTTTTAAATCTATGGGGAAGATAACTGTTAAAATGTAGTTGCATGTTACACTACTTTTGTTATGTATATGTGATTAAGCAAAGTTAGTTTTTTGACAATTTTTTTTTCAGAAATTTATTTGGTCAATCTACAATTCTGCTTGCTATTACAATTTGGTCTGCACATTTGTGTCAGCATGTTTTATCAAAGAGTCATTGCCGTTTAATCCTGACTAATGTGTTGACCACATTACACCTAAATTTGAGATTTTCTTTTATAATTTGGATGGATCTTTTATAAGATCCATCATCAGATGTTCTACTTTCAAATTTCTGTTGATTACTGCCTAACATAATTCTCAAATAACTCTAAAGCTACTTTTAACTTTAAATATTGATTTAACATTTTGAAACACTAGCTGCACAATAGATGAGTATACCCTATGCTTTCAAAGTGTACATAGATTTATAAATTATATTGTGATTAAAGGTTTAAAAGCATATGTAACATGGTAAATTAACAATTACTTGATGTTGTTTTTAGTGAGGATTAAAATAAGATAAAATTAATAATATTTCTTCCTGTGGTTTTGAATATCCTGCTGAAAATCTTAAATGCAAACTGCTTATAATTGTATGGATTAATTAACTGTGCCATGTCAATTAAACACCTTTCAGAGCAATTAAATTTGTTGTTTATTTTATTGTAAAGTCCTGTGAGAAATGATCTATAAAAGTTTAATCAAAGATTGAACTGTGCTTGGATTATTTCAACTTAAACTTTGGTTGACTATTAGAGTAATAAAAAATCTGACAGAAAACTGCAATTATTAATGAAATTTTGTGTTTGAAGAAAAAAATAATTTTGTAAGATCACATCAACTTTTGAGTACTGCATGGTTGGGTTAGTAATGCTCATGGTTGCTAAAACAAAAATTCCCGAGTTTCAACCTTTGGACAGAAGAGGCTCGATAGCTGGGTACAGCAACCCATCTAGGAGAGACAACTCTTAAATCAAACAACTGCTGCCATGTAGTTTGTTCTTGGATGGACTAAGGCTGTGGAAGCAAATCTAAAAAGAAAAACGGGCTGAAATAAATAAGAGTCAACAGCCTGTATAGCACATAACAGTTTGACAGGTAATACTTAATTGTGTTGGAGGAAATCCCGTCCACCCTTACAATTGAGAATGAAGTAGAATTTTTTAGTAAGCTGAATGTAACAACATAAGTTTTTGGTCAATCATATTTTTTGAAGTAATTGGCAAAATAAATTTTCCAATACAATTATTCCCAGAACCGAGTCAGTAATTTTCTGGTTTAATTTATTGCAAATAAGGGAATGTTAAAATCTTGTGTAATTCTTTTTATATCCTCAATAGATAACACAATTCCCATATGTATCCTTAATTTTTTATATACACAACAACTTTAGATATAAATGGATTGAAAACTAAGAAGATCTGTTCAGTAAATTGGTCATGTTTATTTTTGTAATAGAAAAAAAGGTTCATAAAAATGAAACCAAGTATGTCTGGAATGCCATACTTTACACAGTTATGTTTTAATAAATGTAAATACTAACAGAGCTAGCTAAAAACAGAATTACAAATGTGTAGATAAGTGTTGTGAATCCAACTGAAAACTATATACATGAATATACAAACATCTATCGACAAATAATCAGCTCATTTGACTTAAGCCTCTGAAAAGTTTTGAAAAATTAATTTGGAATTCACTTTATTGAACATCATTATTTTCTGTATATTGACAATCCCAATTTTATATATCGATGTATAAAATCCTTTTTTTAATAAGTGCAAAATTGAGCATTATATTTTTTCAAATCACATACTTGCAAAACTCTTAGAACACTAAATACATGTACTTACAAATGGTATTTACACATAAACTAATCTGCTTGGAATGTAGCAACATTTATAACAATAAAAATTTGAGATTTCATCATTTACAGGTGAAAACTGTGTTTCGTTTTTTTTTCTCTTAAAAGCACCATATGAAATTAAGCAATCAATGTTGGTTATAAAAAATTCAATATAGTAATATTTATTTCCTTTGTTATTATATTAATTATTTATTGTTTTATAGTTGATGATTGATTATTAAAGAATGATCTAAGCTGTAATAAAAAGGTTAAAAAAATACTTTAAAAAGACACGTCTGTAAATATTTCTACAAAAAAGTGATGTATAAAAGGCAACCGGTGAGGACAGCTGCTAAACAAAGTTGAAGTTGATTTATTTGTTGGAATGTAAAGGTCATATGAATATAAACAGTAGAGTTTATTTATCTGTTGGAATGTAAATGTCATAGGAATATAAACAGGAGATATGCTAATTACATTGAATGTCTGTTTAGTTTTGTACAAAATCGATACATAATACATGATTGGGTAACCTTGGGTGTACGGATATAGTATAATGAAAATGAAAAAAATACAATGATATTTTTATCCCATAATTGAAGAGTAACAATTGCCATGAGCATGCAAAATATGTTCCAAACTATAACATATACCAATTTAAAAAAAACGATTAAAATACAAAAATAATTCTATTCCATAAGAAATTATATATTCATTGCTATAATGAGTCTTATAAACAGCAGGAAGTTACATTATCTTTAAAAAAAAACAATACTTTATTGCAATGCTTTACTTGAAGTTGGCTGCAAATATGATTTTGATAATCGTTTATTTTCTCTTATAAAAAATGTGCATAGTCTGAAAAATTATTTTTTTTATCTAATTCTAGCATTTGTGCAGTTTATATTATTATTTAAAAAGAACTGTTTACTTAATATAATTAATACCTTAACAAAATTTAAAAACCAAATAACCTTGAAGAAATTGCAATTTTAAAAAAATTACCATGCTTTACTTTAATGCAAGTTTTAATAAAAGCTTTATAACTTGTCTAGTTTATTGTCTAAAAGATTGCCGCAATGCTTCATTGAGAAGTTAATACTTTACGTGGTTTGTTATGTTTTGTGGCAAGGGAGGCTGCAATAATAATTTTTTATTTGAAAGCAAAAGAATACTTCATGTCAAACTAATGAAGCTTTTTAATTAAATTGTTTTTGAAATATAAATGTATATTTGTTACAGATACTTCTAACTATTAATGTTAATTAGCCTAGTACTCAAGGACAAATTGAAATACTCTCGAACTGATATTGTCATAGCATTAGTCTGATTTTAAAGGAATTTAACACTACACATTCTAGTGCTTGATTGAAATAATGGCTAATATAATTTACTAAATATGTAAGTAAATGGGAAAGGATTCCTTTCAATCTTTAAAACAAAAACGTTAACCTAAGAAAAAGCTATGTTAAATTATCAGGTCATTTGGTTTTGTCTATGTCTATCAGAATGTAAATAACCACACATTACTTTTGGGATAATCTTTAATTGTATATTTTAATCATCTATAAAGCACTGTTTTCAACATTATAATATATGGCTTTTCAACATTATAATATCCAACTTGCAAAATAAAAGTTTTAAAGAAACAAAATTCATTCCCTATTATATGGCTACATAGATCTATATCAAATTACTACTATAATAAAATAAAGCACTGCACTTAGTTTACACATTTTACTTATAAAAAGCTGCCTTAAAGTGAAAAGATAAAAAAGGTAACCTGCCCTAGATTCTAGAGGTAAAATTAACCACATGTTATTTAGGTTTTTAAATTGTAGTTTGCTTACGTCAGTCATCATATCATAACACTGTGAAGCATTTAATACCTACGAGTCTATGTCAACTGTCAGTCTGTGTCGATCTTCTGTGCTGATATATTTACAATGTGAAACTAGTCATGTCATGAGGATACACTTTACTTATTTTACAGTTTTATAATTACACAAAAACCTGCCCAATTGGAAATGTACACTTAGAGGTGACATGTTTCTTTTTTACTAATTACAAAGTATTATGTCATAATCAATCACAAAATGTCTGAATTATTGACTAATAAAAGCTAAAAACAACACATTTTAATATCTAATAAAGATATTGTGTAGCACATGGTAGCCTGTATTGGAATGTTGAAGCAGGTTTTAGTAATACCTGATATGCGTAAACATGAAAAAAAACAAGAAAAAAGTAACTGCTATTGCTTGAGAATGTTGCTACTCAAACTGTTTGCAAATAATATATATATATATATATATATATATATATATATATATATATATATATATATATATATATATATATATATATAAATATATATGTATGTATTATATTATTCTGACAGTTTTAAAGAGGTAAACAAGTTAATTTTCTATCAGTATAAAATTTTAGAAAAATGTATAAAAAAATAATAAAAAACTCATTTTATAAAAAACAAGCTGCCAAATTAATCTATGGTTTGTAAACAAACAACTAAATGTAATCAATATTTAGCCTTGAACTACATCTAACAAGGTTTTTAAATATTAAACTGACTCTTCTTTATATGCAGCTTTTATATTTACAGATTTAGGTGGCGCTACATCTTCATACTCTGGAGGAGGTGAGTCTTGAATTCTGTTGCCGGAGAAGCGGTTCTTGGAATATCTTTCCCTGCGGTCACTGGAATTTCGCTTACGAGCATTATCATCTGCAGCGTCTGGCATGGCTCTAGCCGGCTCCCTGGCATTTCTTCCAGTTTCCCGTGGTTTTGATGGCTCCCATTTTTGCTTAGGTGGTTCTGGCTCTGATTTAGCTGGTGCAAACTGAGGTTTGGGCGGTTCAGCCACTGGTCTTGCTGGTTCTACAGGAACCCTTGGTGGTTCAACCTTTGGCTTTTGTTGCTCCCAGTAAGGCCTGGGTGGCTGTGGTTGCTTTGGAGGTTGGTATGCTGGTTTAGGAGGTTGGTATGCTGGTTTGGGAGCTTCAGCTACTGGCTTAAAAACCTCTGCGGGTTTAACAGGTTCAGCTGCTTTCTGTTTAGCCAGTTCCATACGACGAACTTCTTCTCCTGTTGGCGGTGGTGGCAGAGGTGCATCATCAAGGTTCTCCTTACTTCTTGAACGCTTGTTATTAAGTTCATCATCATATTTAGGAGGTGGTCCAGCTTTTGGTCTCTCTGGACTAGGCTCTCTCTTACGTGGTGGTCTATCCTCGTCATCGTAATCCCGTCGCCTGTCACCACTCCTGCTTCTTCGACTACGCCGACGAGGCCTATAATCATCCTCATCATCATAAGGACTGCGCCTGCCACGGTCTCTTTCATCATCATCACGGTATCTATCCCTGTCTCTTTCACGACTGTTGAGCCTTCTTGGTGGGGTGCGCCTTCCTCCATCTTTCTCGTCTTCACCAGGAACCCGGTCTTTTTCCCGACTCCCACTCCGTCTTGGTGGACGATCAGAATCTCTATCACTATCATCATAACGGTCCCGATACCTATCCCTACTTCGCCTCCTACGATCTCTCTCATATTCATAATCACTGTCATCACTGTACCTGTCATAACTGCGTCGCCTGCGCTTCCGATCACGATCTCGGTCGTAGTCACTATCTTCATCACTGTAGTACCTGTCCCTGCTCCTGTCTCTGCTTCTTCTTCTAAACCTTCTTTCATCCTCGCTATCCTCAGGAGATCTTCTGTCGTAAGAACGCCTGTCCCTGCCTCTACTACCAGGTCTGTCTTTCTCGGCACTGTCACGGTTGCCCATGCCCTTGTTGTCAAGGCCATTCACTGGTGGCTCCCCTTTCTCACGGTTCAGACTGTTTTGTGAAGAAGAGCGCCCTCTTCTTGTTGAGTATTGGCCATTCTTTTTCACAGGTTCAGCAACCTCATTTGTTTGAGATAATCCACGATTTTTCCTAGGATTTGACCGTATAGATCTTTCTGACATGTTATCTTTGATAGAGTACCTGAAAAAAAAGTTCAGCTAAAATTATATTTCTTCATACTTGTGTGAAAACAGGTTTCATATAGGTTAAACACAGTACCAAATTTTTTTATTTCTTCAAAATTATGTTAAATCTTTTAACATAATATATGCTGGTATATCAATAATGTCTGCTGTCAGCAAAGCAGAAGAAATGTCATGGGCCCAACTTGGTAGAATTGCCCAGAACAGAGTATGATGGAGCAGAGTTTCTTCCAGGGGGCTTTGCCCCCCCCCCCCCCCCCGAAAAAATTCTACCGCCCTCGCGAACGAAATTTATATAATTTCTATAATAGAAAATATACACTTTTAACAGTGTTCACCCTTGAAGAAAGTCTACCCCCCCCCCCCCCCCAAATATTTCAAGTGCCCCCCGGAGAAAAAAGTCTGGATGAAACACTGTGATGGAGAGGTGTGGTTGCATCCCTATGCTCCACAAGTGTTCACATGGATGATGATGTTGTATATATTACCATGTATATGTTACTTATATTCATTTTTATTAAAGACTGCCTGAAATAAATAATTAAAAAAATAATTCACACAAACCTGTCAGCTTTTTCTAGTTCATCTTTGTCAAGGGAATAATCCGAATACTGCCTGTTCATGGTTGACTTAGACATCCTGCTCATAGACTCCTGCGAGTTGTATCTTGTATTGAAAGTTAACACAGGATCTATGCTGTTTTTGGTTTCATTCATAGCAATGGGCACTTTAGAGTCTGATCTCTGTGGAATAAAGAGCAAAATGTACATTGCTCTGATTCATTAGAGGCATTTTCTTATGAGAGATGGATTGGAATTAAAGAACCTAATTTTTTTAATTTACATTGCTTATCTATATAAAAAGCAAAAATAGTTATTAGGAGACTTTAACAACAACAAAAAAAAGAATGAAATACAAAATTTATCTAATGTAAGGATTTTAATTTTTTTTTCAGATAATAATGTGGTATATAGAAGGCTAAATCTTTGTTTTGCATTAATACAATAAGAGTTTGAAAATAAAACTTAAAATAGATTTAATAAAAATTTAGGTTTGGCAACATAGTTATGTCCTTTTTTAAATTAATTTATATTAGTAAAACAATAATCTTTTTAATTTTTAAGCTAATTTAGTAATTTATTTTCAGTATTGATAATCTATCCAATTCTTTGATTCAATGTATTAAATAAGATTAAATTTTGCCACTACTTTTTCAAAGTAAAAAATATGTTGTTTGAAATGCTCATTGTGTAACATAAATTTGAGGAAAATAATACTATTAGGTCCATCAACAAAAACTAGATTTGACTTACCAAGCCATATTCCTGAGCCAGCCTATGGTATGTGACAGCAAAGAAAACAATAAATATGACTGTTCCCACTAGCAGTAAAATGCCAATGATGATGCCACAAATCTCTGAAGGCGTCAAGAGGTGGCACCCAGCCTCTTCCCTCTCATCAGAGTTATCTCCACAGTCGTCCCAGCCATCGCATGCAAGATCGTCGTGGACACAGCGCTGAATCTGCTGACATTTGAACTCTCTTGTGTAGCAAGGCCCTGAAATAATTCAAAATTATCAAATAATTAAAAAATAAACTTATTCTTAAAATATTGGTAAAGAAGACTAAAAAAATGATTGCTGGTGAAAGAGACACTGGTAGGTGTGTTACATAACCCTGCGCTTAATTATCTTTATTCTTATTTTTACAAGATTTCTTTTTAAAGGGTTGGATGCAGTGTTTTTTTTTAGACATTTTTCTTCAAAGTTGGGAGGGGGTGGTGGATAACTGAAACGTTTGGGAGGGCGGTAAAGTTTCCAAGGGAAAGACAATGGTTAAAGTGAAATACATCATTTAAAAGCTAAACACTTACAGTAGGGTCTGAACTGGTTGATGTGAACTCTGAACCCTTCGCCCTTATAAGGACTACTACTGTAAAGCCGGAATGTGAGTGGGGAGCTCTCAATGACCATCTTTTGTTGTTTATTTGACTGATGCCTCTCTTCCCACTCCCACGCCTCACCACAGATGCGTCCACCTGCAAAATTAAAAACAATTAGAGATTTTATCATAATGTTCTTTATATAGTCAGGCGCGAGTCAGACACTGGCCCCTGCTCACCCCACTCAGGGAAAAATTATATGGGGCACCTGCTGATCTGGAGACCACAGTCCGGTTTGTTAACGAAGTTGGGCTTGTTGTCTAAATCCTCCACCATATTCTCAATTAAGAATGAAGAAGAAGAAGATCATAATGGCTAGTATATGCCTACTATAAAGCCTCTTCATATGCTGAGGTCACACAAGCAAGTGAACTCTACTTCACTTGCCCCATTGACGGTAAGGTTTGAACGGGAAACTTTACTTTACTTATATAACCTATTATTTAAAACTGTGACCAAAAGAGTAAAACCATCTATAATGGAAATCCATTAGAGATTTAGAAAAATTAGGGGTGAGGGAAAGGAATACTCAATATTAAAAACAATCTCTATTTTGCATACTCAGCACTTTATATAATATTGAGAAGAAATAAAAATCATATACAAAAAAGCTTCACTACTTCCTTTCAATAGGCTTAGTTACTTGACTAAATAAAACACAAATAATACAAACTAAATAAATAATATGAATACATTTAAACTATTAAAAATGTATGAAGATATGTTCAACACATTTATTCAGGCACACCTTCAAGAAATGTATCATATAAAAAAATTACCGTAATACTTTCGTCCCATCTGATCAAAGATCTCTAAGCCAGTGTCACAAGTCTTTCTATCAGCAGTCTGTGGGATGATGTCCACAAAGTAAAGCTCTATAAGGAGGTTCATGCCATGGGTGAAGGTCAGGATGATGTCACACTTGATATCCCTTGAGGGATCCTGGTAGGCTGCCATGGAGGTTGGCATTGGTACTTTTAGCAGGGCAGATTGTGTGTTGGTCTGCATTAAATCGTATGTGGAACCACATGTTCCGTAAAACTGTTCTGTAATTTAAAAAAAAAAAGGGATTGAATGATTACATACTTTGTTACAGATTGAATTAAAATACAGTTAGTTGTTTTTTTAATGAACCTGTGTAGTAAGTTTTAATTTAAAACATTCCATATGCTTTGTATTAAAAATCTAAAAGTAGAACCAGCTTAGAAAAATATATAGGCTTATGAGGTGTGGGTACAAAATATTTTCCCAATTTAGTGTCATATCACTACTATCAGGCACTGTCCTGTTCAGGTGAATTTCTTTAATACAACTATCCCCACGACTAAAAAAAAAAAAAACATACTATCATCACCACTGCCACAAAATGTATAATTAATACTGAGATGACTTAGTCATCAATCAATTGGAATTTCCAAGATCAAGTTTCTGATTAATTGATAGCTATGAAATAATTATAACACAGTAGGCACACAATTCTCAATACTGCTATTGTTGTTAGGCCATATGACCGTACACAACTTCTGCACTTTCTTAATATTTTTTTTGACATTGTTTTCCTTATTGCCTAATATTTATTATTTAGGCCTATACTATTTCTATATATTATATAATAATATAGTTATATATTCAATTACATTACATAGGCCTATAGTCTAAAATGCAAATGTATAGACCTATAGCTACTTTTAAAATAATTTATCCAAACAAAATCATTAAATATCATTCATACTCATACAGCCTAGGGGCCTATTTTAATTTAAAATTGTAGGTCTATTGTACAAGTTACTATTTTTTATTCTTCATTACACAATCTCATACAAAGCAAAACTTAACTATTGCTAGTTCTAGATCTGTATTTAACTCTATTAACTATTAGCTAGTTTAGACCTAGCAGTTACTTTATTGTGCAGGATTATATAGTAAACAATATCACGTGTAATGTGCTTTCTGCAGTTGTTATTATATAAAAAAAACAATCCAACGTCTTTAGTCGTGGATGCGCTATTTGTTGTTGTGGATACCCTCATATTTTGAAGTTAATAAACAAGCTTTGCATGATGGCCAAACGGCAAGAAGACGTAATTGAACCGAATCTGCTAAACCTTAATTTAACCCTTGTAACTTACCTAAAGAGTTGACGCGTATAACAGATGTGGATAAAATTGAAAACAGAACCAGGAAATGAAGTCTCCGTGTCCTGGCTTGGGTAGCCATTTTTGGAGTACTATTCCTGGCGTCCTTCTTACAACCTGGAAATGTGCGACACTACGACACTACGACACTACCTGGCCTGACCCACTTTTCCCTGGGCTATGAATACAAAGGTAGGCAAATGTGTATTAGTCTCGGTTATGTCCCTTTGAATTCATTGAGGCTTGGGGTATATCACGCGTTTGTATTTAATGTGCACACGATTCGTTACACATCACTGGCAGTTCTTGTGGGAATATTAAATAATATTCGTAGACTGAAATTATCACAGAATGCACCAAACAGTTTTCTGAGCATAGAGTTATAGTGTATCACAAATAGAGTTCTGTTCCATGGAAAAATTAACCCTATACTCTTAGGTTTTAGAAAAGCAACATAAAATATTAATATTATATAGGCAACATAGGTTTGGCCATTATACAAACCAATAGGCCTAGTCTTTAAAAGTAATTGTAATACTTATATAAACTAAACTTAAGCAGTGTTTCTTTCGGGCATCTCTTTGGAGGAGGTGGGGGGGGGCGCTCTGCCGTCTACCGCCCCCCCCCCCCGAACGAAATGGAATTTATATAGATAACATATACTTTTAACAGTGCCCCCCCCCCCCCCCCGAAATATCAAGTGCCCCCCCTCCCCCGTGGAAAACGGTCTGGAAGAAACACTGAAATCAAGCTATTATAATTTGTATGAACTGTTACCTTACATCCCAAAACCTTCCTACACCTATATAACATTTCATTCAGGCATCTCTTTGAGGATGGTGGGGGGGGGGGGGGCGAAGCACATTTACCCCTCCCACGAACGAAATTGAATTTATATACAAAATGTATAGCCTACTTTAACCAGTGTCCTCCCATCGGAAACTTTTCCGCCCTCCCAAAAGTTTCAGTTATCCACCACCCCCTCCCAACTTCAAAGAAACACTGCATCCAACCCTTTAAAAAAGAATTCTTGTAAAAAAGAATAAAGATAATTAAGCGCATGGTTATGTAACACACCTACCAGTGTCTCTTTAACCAATGTTTCTTCCAGGCATCTTCGGGGGGAGGGGTGGAAGGGGGGCTCCCGAAGTAAGTCTACCGCGCCCCCCCCCCCAACGAAATGGAATTTATGTAGAAAATATATACTTTTAACAGTGTCCGCCCCCCCCCCCCCGGAAATTTTAGTCCGCCCCCCCTTCCCCGAAAATTTAAAGTGCCCCCCCCCCCCACCCCGCAGAAAAAAAAGAGATGCATGGAAGAAACTCTGGAATCAATTGATTTTAAAAATTCGAAATTCTTTTGAGCGAGATAAACCTACATTGGATTTTAATAGAAATGTAAGTTAACATAAATGAATAATTCTGATTGAATCCATTAAAAAAATATATTAGAATATTCCTCTTGATATTACACGTAATATAAAAATTTCTACCGGGCAAAAAAGATATGTTTTACGCCCTCGACATCAATTAATTATTTAATAAATGCATACAAATCCAGACATCGAGCATGACGGTACATGAAGAAGTCAACACAGTTGCCCGGACACATTACATTTTACCTAGATTCTCTAAATCTTTTTCACATTACAGGGAGATAACCTTACGCGCTTTCTGAATGCATTGGAAATGCTGAATCTTAGAATTGTCATGTTTAGTTTTGCTTTGTGATACACATTTCATTTTACCTAATTTTTTTTTGCATATTTCAGGGAGATAATTTAACACGCTATCTGCATACACAGGCAATGCTAAGTAAGATGTTTAACACAAGTAATGTTTCCAATATCACATTTCGAATGATAACGTTACAATGATGATACGTACATTGATTGTTGTCGTTTGATTATAGAAGATTTCATTACATTTAAAAAAGTAAATTCATATTCAATAGATCAGTTGATACATATATTAAATATATAGGTCCAAATCATGTGAAATATTTTTTATGTACACTTTTTCATTTTTGCCATACGCTTGTATTACATTTAAAAAAAAAATATTTAGACGTTTTGTATTAGATCTATGTATAAGTAAACCATCTTAAATGAATGAAAGCAGGCTACAAGTAAGAAAGAAATATTACCATTGTAAATCTGTAGCAGTCATCACAAGCCGGTGATGAAAACTGTAATACTAAAGCGAACATGCACGGCAAACTGACGCTGTAAATTACATGTCTGAGGTGAAAAAAAATTACATTTAAAAAGAAAAAAAAGAAAAAAAAAACAATTACATTTTGACTGTAATGCCTAAAGATCAGCCCCACCCCCCTGTGTCAATCAGCAACCGCTCAGTTCCCAAACCATGGATCACTAGTCCCACTTAAGGTTGTTGACCTCTGTTTTTGTTTGACCGAAGCTAAACGCTATTATAGACGAGTAATGGGCTCTCAGTAATTCTCCACAATATGATAGTGCGGGTGGCGCCATCAGAGTGTGGTTGAAGTGGACAACATTCCTGTGCTTGATGTAATCATTTACACGGGACTTGGCGTTGAAATATCACTTTCTGTTTATATTTCTATTTACACAGGGCTAAGTGCCGGTTAAAAAGGAGAGTCGGGGAGGGGGGGAGTTTAGGGGGTTGGGGGGGGGGGGGGCGTGCGGAGTCAAATCAAATTGATGGATGACTCCCTGTTTAAGTATAAATAATCGAGCATAGCCCTACCACCCTCTCCCCGTTGTGTGTAGGTCATATGTGCATTTTCATGTAAGTGTGCATGCGTATGTGTAAGTGTATATGCCTATATGCATGTTCCTGTAATCTCCGTGAAGTGAAATAGCAAACTAACAGAAAGTATACTATAAGAAAAAAAATCAACCTCAGAAAACCAAAAAAAGTTACAAAACACGGAATCGACTCCATCCAATATAACACATTTAAAAAAAAACAACCCCACCCGTCTTATACTGTTCCTGTTATAGGCTTATACAATATGCGTGATCTCTAACCCACATCATTAAAATTAAATTAACAAAAAACTAAAAGGAGACACAAGAAGATACAAGCATTTAGTGCTGAAAGAACTTGATACTGTGCAGCACTGTTATGCTTCGTCACCCGACCGTAACCGTTTTTTCAGGGTTAAAAAAAAAGGGAGGGGGCGGACGGTTGTAGCTGTCATAAGATTAAAAATGGACGATCCGATTCACGTTGATTTCTTGACGAGTTGCCTCTCTTTGAAGCCTGTGTACATAAAAAATGAAGGAACAAAATGTGTTGTTCGCTACTTTAAATAGTTCTAGATTTACAATACACTCTTACAATCTCACTGATTAAATATTATAATAGAAACAGTTATTTATATAAAAAAAAAACCACGGAAATAATAATTTTTTTTTGCGTTGAATTGAAGTGTACAAGTGCTAGACAGGCCAATGACACCGGAAGTTCAAATGACAAGATAGAGCCAGTTCATGTTGCGGCCATGGGGTAACTTATCAGATAACGTCTGAAGGTCAAGGGTCATGTTTTAAAGTGTACAGTTGATTTTGAGATAAGAAATGTACTTCATTATAAGGGCATTAAACTTCGAGAGACGCACAATAAATGCAGTCAGTTTTGCCAACAAACTTAATTACACGTAAACATTGGCGTTTACTTGTGTAAAGCCTAGATAGGCCTACTTAGCAGAGTTTCTTCCAGGCATTTCTTCGGGGGGGGGGGGGGGGGGGGGGGGAACTCCCCCCCCCCCCGAAAATTT